CTCATCTTCAGAGGTTAGCGGCTCGTCCCCAGGTTCCTTTTCTGGCTCTCTTGCTGCGAGAAGTTCCTCTTCAACCCCAAAATGAGGCAAAGAGTCGTCGAGCTTCACGCCCCTTTTTGACCTCGGTAGGTCTGAAGGGTGGCCAGGCGTGGGCGGAGCTTCTTCAAATGCTTTTGCGTCCGGTGCAAGCAATTCATGAGGTCTCACTGACGGCCTACTTGTGTCCCCTTTTGATGAGGACGAAGGCTCTCCTCCTGTTGCTGGCATTCCTGACACGGCATCTGGTGCTGCGACAGCCACGCTTTCGGATAGGATTGGAACGTTTTGCTCCACACGATCGGCATAAATCCTGGCTGACTCCGGAACGTGATGTACGACATCACTCACCCGATCTGCTTTGATTAGGTATGGGAGTTGGCCTGGAAACCACACAAATGGCCTGCCATGCTGTTCCACTTGAAGGCCTACCGACAAGGCATGAGGGCAATCCTTCAACATGTAGAACGTGTTTGTTCCTGACAATTCCCCTGAGAGATCCACCACTTCAGCACTAGGCCTGATGCCACCGCCGGTGCAGAATTCGATCGGCTCATTTGCCTCGTGCACATGCTCCCTGAAGGATTGCGGCAAACTCTTGCTTGAGATTAAGTTCCTACCGGCACCTGTGTCCAGCAGAAACTCTTGCTGCACTGGCTGGCTAAGGCACGCAATCATGGTTGCCACGGCTTTCATGCATTGCGACAACACGGGAGTGCAAAATGCGGTCTTCTTGCACTTCTTGGCTGCTTTCTTAGCTTCAGCAACAGTTCCTTTCAAGGCATACGCGGCTGCGAAAACCTTTGCTGCCCCTGCGTTGACGGAGGCTGCACCTGCTGGCGATGACGTCTGAAGCCCTTTTGGCTTGGGTCCCTTATAGAGATTGTTGGAATCATGCAGATAGAAGCACTTATCACCTTTGGTGCAAGCATTATACCCAAAGTACATGCAAGGCTGCTTCTTCTTCTCTTCATCCGTTAGCCTAGGAGTGCCCTTAGGAGTTGTGTCCCCCTTCTTACCCTTGCCACCCTTACTCTCGCCCTTGCCTTTCCCCTTTGCGGGTGCTGCATTCGCTTCTTTAGGCTTCGGATCTTTGGAGTCTTTGGGCTTCTGGCTGGATGAAGGTTGCTCCTTTTGGGCTTCCCCCTTCTTCTCTGCCTTCTTCTTGTCGTTCTTGTCTTTCCCTTCCTTTGTCTTGGCTGGCGCTGCTTGGGACTTAGTTGCGGATTGCGTGTACACCTGATCGATTGACACGACATTTTCATCTAGCTGATGAATCTCGATGATTTCCCCGAGCTTCGCGTAAAGCCAAGGCCAAGTCCTTTTACTGCTGTTTGGACTGGCGTTCCTGAAACGGTCGATCACCAAAGCCATTTTTGGATGTCCTTTCAATTGCTCGAAAAGGGTGCTCCTAATAGCTTGGTCACTCGGTCTCTCGGAAACTTCCAAGGCCTGGTACACGAAGTCGAATCTCTGACGGAAATCTTCGAGTGCCTTAATGTCGGTGCCGCTCATCTTGAGGCCTAAGAGATGGGTTTGAGTCAAGGCAATTCCCCTATCCTTCTCCATCTTAAACCTCTCAAAGATGACCCACAACAACTTCCGCCCCTTTGGCTGCTTGAAGACCCGTTGCTCTTGCTCCTGAATGGATTGGAAAAGCATGGCAAACTTGGTGTTCTTCGACAGCTCAAGCAGCTTTGAACCCAACACTCGATCAAGAATTGGAAACGGAAGGCTCGACTCGAGATCGGCTTTGGGATTAGTGCTTTCGGCGATCCAGCTATGGATTAAGGATTCGTCACCCTTTGCAAGCCTACACACAAGGTTGAAAACCGAGTTCCTGAATAGGCGAGCGTCTGCCGCCGTTTTGGGCAGCTGAGGCAACTTCATCTCATCATATGCCTTCACACGCATGAGTTTCTTTTCCCTTGAGTAGGCATCGATTGCCGCGTCAATTTGGGCCATTCCCTGATTTCCTTGAGGGGGAATTGAGGGGCCCTGAGGAGGTCTTTGCGAGCCTCCTGGCGAACCTCCTGGTCTCCCGCCGCCTCCACCCTTGTTGGATTCGCTTGATGAGCTATCCGAGTGATCTGGCGACCCAGGATTAGAACCATGCTGTGAACCATTTTGCGATCCACCCCCCGACTGCCCTCCCACAGATCCTATGTTGAAAACCTGAGGGACCTGCCCTGTTCCTGCCTGATGAATTTGCGGCACAGTTTGAGCGGCGGCAGTCTGGGATGCAAATAGCTCAAAGGCTGATGTGAGTTGATCCAAACGCCTTTCTAATGCACTTAATCCCGGATTCGGTGCAACTGGAGAAGAATCCCCAAAAATGTTTCTCACAGCACCTGATAAGTCCCATGATGAAGCATTTTGTGCACTGATTCCGGTGCCCTGAGGCATCACGGGGCTTGCCTGATGTGAACCATTGCCATGCGCTATCGGTTGGGGGTTTCCGGTGCCCTGCGGCATCACGGACCCGTCCTGCACTGGCTGGCTGGTGCCCGAAGGCATCACAGCAGGATGCCCACTCGCCTGCAGTGGCTGATTATCCGCGCCATTATGGATGCATGCCAATTCCCTTTTTAAGGATTGATTTTCGGCCTCAAGAGAATTCAACCTTTGCTCCATTGCTAGCAATCGGTCTGCCAACTGTTGCGCCCTCTGCGTTGCTTCGGCCTCCCTAAGTTGGTGTTCCCTAATCTGGTCACTTGTGCCATGCTGGGTCCTCGTCAAGGCATCTTGGAGTGCCTGAACCTGTGCGTTGGCTTGTGATTCCAAATAAAGGACTCGCTCCTGGGCTTGTCTCAATTGGTCCCCCGATTCATGCTTGGTCCTTTCAAGTGATTCCTGAAGGGCATGAACTTGATTGAAGGATTGGCTTTCCAATTGATTTACCCTATCCCTAGCCTCGGCCATTAAGCATTGAGCTTGGGCTTCAGTGACAACCAACCTCCTATCATTCTCTCTCAAATGCGCTTCAGCTCTTTCGACCAGTTGTTGATCCAATGATTGAACAACCATGGTCGGCTGGTACACTTGGGTGTGATGAGCTTGAGCGTGCATTTCAACATTTGGGGAGAAATGATGATGCTGATGCAACTGAGCACTTTGCATGTTGATCCTACTTCCCATCGGTTGGGATGATGCCGTGGACATGCTAGTGTCTTCATTACTATTACTGGAGTCTGCGACCTGCGGGGGTGAAAACATCTGTACAGATCCCTGAGCAGCTGGAACTATTTCTGATGGCTCCATTGCTTCTTGAAATTGGTCGGACAGGAAAAGCTACTGACGCAATGCCTGCTTGCACCTTGCGGCGCACTCCGGCCAATGGGCCACACAATCCTCAAGAAATCCGACTGGCCTAAACAAATTGTTGGCCGGTGGCTTTCTGCGAAGCTTGATGTGAATGCCCGAGATCTTGTCCTGTACCTGGCGATCGACGATACTGTTGATGACCTCGTCACTGTCGTCAACGATGAATGCCGAGCGGAATCCAACTGACAGCAGATCCTGAAGGACTAGCACCTTCCCACCTTTCTGGGTCCTGGGATTGAAACTGGCCCTCTCAGAAGTTGTAACGATGAAGTCAAAAACTGATGAGATATCCGGAGTGCGATTGAACGCAGCAACCAATGCGTCTCGGCGTTCTTGGCTATGGAGGTAGGATAGGCAGATTGTCACAACGTGGATACCTTCGCGAAAGAAAGCGGCTTTCAGCTGCCTAATCGCTTCGAGGTTGTCGTGGCAAATACCTTCGTAATCCCACTCTGTGCGTCCGCAACGGGCTCTGTCAAGAACCTGGTGATAGTCGATTGCAACCACGCAACTGTCCCGAAAGTCAATGCCGTAGCGCGGCTCGTAGACAAAGGACAATCCTTGATCTTCCCAATTGCTGTTCACACACTTGAATACTCCTGTGGCAAGAGTCAAATCACAAATCACCGCAGCGAAGTGATGCCCGGAAGGCTCAGCGCGCCTCGGCGTACGTGAAGTGCTCTCTGGCCTCGACGCAGCTTTGCTGGTCGCCTGGAGCAATCTGTGCTGCACAGGCTCCGCAGATGACGATGCAGGCTCTTCGGCTCGGAGCGACTCGCGCTGCACAAGCCTAAGAGGAGCAGACCGATCCGCTGCCTTCACAACCCGAAAAGACACCCGATGATTCTGGGGCTCCTCAGTCAGACGCTGTTGCTCGTTCCAAAAGGCCTGTTCGTAGAGCTGTAGCTGTTCCCAGTTGACTTTTGCACGTGCAAGCCTGTCCCAGGTGCTATCCAGCACAAACGGAGGTTCGTTTGATAAAACCCCCTCGGCCAATCCGTCACGTAGTACACCAAGTTTCTGTGACTTGCCTCTTCGTCCGGCTCGATGCCAACCGAAGAGATTCCACAGTTCCGGTGCCACTCCCGGATGCTCGACGCCCTCACCCGCCGTAGCTATCGGTCGCAGCTCAAAAGCTACGGCTGATAACCAGACGAAATACGAATCAAGACAATTCAAGTAAAGAGTATGCCCAAAAGTGCTATGGCGGCACCGGAAGCTTCACTCGCACAACCTGTTTTGCCTTGAGCCAAAATGTACAAGTCATCCAAGGCGAACTGACTGTTTCTCATCAGTGTCAACCCTGGAAACTTGATTCAAAGGAAAGTTCAAGCAAACATGAATTCCGGGGGCAAGGTTGAATTAGACATGCATGCACCACCTACCATCAGGAAAATGTGGATTCCAGCAGGGGGCATTCTTCTGATCTACGTATCAACAATATCAGGAAATATGGCCATGGGTCAAAATCCCGTACCCCCAGTGAACAGCCCAATCCCCCCTAAAATTGGCTCTAGAATTCACCTACCAACCAAAATGGGATCCCAAAACGGTTTTGACCCACGGCCATATTGAAACCCCGGCGCCTGTGTTTTCTGGGCGCTCCACTCGAGTCCCTTGAGCTGAACCCTTGATGGCGCCTCAAGGGCCTGCAGCGCTTGCGGCCGTTGGGGCGCCTGCTCGTTCAGGCCTGCGCTCGAACGACGCGAGAAGGAAACCACCGAGCGGAAATGTTGTTTCTTGGAAAACGCGGGGGGAAAGAAAAGCACGACTCATGCCCTCACCCCTACCTGGGGGTTTGTACTTGTTCGCATTTGCCCTTCTGCTTCTTTGATCTTTTTTTGGGGGAAGGAGTGTTCATCACGTTCTTCCCTCAGAACTACCTTGGGAAATGAACTTGGGGGGTACATTCCCTCACCCTTAACAAAAAAGCAAAACAGAAACGGCACGTCACAAAGCCAAATGAGACACCGCCCATCAGTCCCTCAACTTTTTGCCAAGGGAAGTTCACTGCGCGGAGTACCTTACCCAGCCTTTCTTTCTTCGGATCTGGTTACAGATCTGACGGAATCAAAACCTGCAAAAGCATCCGCGTCCCATCAACGATGGCTTGCAGGAAGCACTTCATGCCAAGGTTGACATACTTGTAATTGAGCGGTTGTATGGGTGGCTCGTGCTTTTTTAGGGCCCCTTTTGTTGGTGGTTTTTAATGGAAGCCAAAAGGAGACTGCCATTTGGGGGGTGCCCAAAAAAGACAGACCCCTGTAGCTTTTACTGGACCGACAAGCTACCCTGATGTCGATCCTCAAAAACCCCCCATTCAAAAAACCCAACATGTGAGCCACGGTCAAAACATGCTGTTACCCAAATGGATGGGACATTAAGTAAGTGTCCCATGTACCGACCCGCCAATTGACCACAAAGGACATGTTGTCCGAACCTGAAGCATCTTTCCACCTAAAGTGAGTTGATTCCTCACTTAAAAGGCGGTTCCCGCCCCTTATGTTCCTCTTACTGATCAAATTAAACCTGAAAACTACAAGTACCCTTTGACAAGTTGTGATTCCAGACCACCCGAAATGTGGGGGAACTCGGCATATTGTTTGCAATAGCACCTGAACAATGGGGATCCTGCACTACGAACCTTCTGCAAAAGTTTAACTTCTATTGGGTCCAATTGAAAACTCCCACCTGTTTCAACCAAAAAGCAAAAGCTTAAAGATAAATAGCCACAAAGGATTCTACCCCCCCCCAAAAAAAAATAATAATAAACAAAAATAATTAAAAAAAAATAAAAATAAAATAAAAAATAAGCTCAGGTGATATCCCCAACAGCATGCGATGCTCTTTTTAGTGCTCGCGCCCTCGAAGAACCTCGTGGAACCTTCGTGGAACCCTGGTGGAACCTTCGTGGAACCTGACCTCAGGGCCGCTGCGGACCACCCCGGAGCCTATCTGGGCTGAGACCCCAAAGCTTTCAGCCGGGGAAAAACCTGCGTTCTACCCCCCCCCCCCCCAAAATGCGCAGCAGCATCCGAAGTCCGGTCGCCAGGACCGGCTCCCGGTCCGGCGGCCTCGTTCGGAGAGCACGCGGCTCAGCACCTTGGCGGCCTGACACGGACGCTTTGCAGCTTTGGTATCACTCGAAAACCCAGCCACACCCACCCAAAAAAAATCGCCCGAACCTACGGCCGTGGCCTTTTTGTTCACATATAATAATCTAGGTCCTCCGGTAGAGAGGTGAGAATAAGTTGGTACCAACTTCTTTCCTTCTTTTTCTCGGTTTTGTCCAATTTTAGTAGGGGAACCCTCCCAACCAAAAAGAAACGGTAAAAGGGCACCTAGCTGGGGAACCTAGACAAGGAAGGGGCCGATCTTCCATAAAACGCGGGGGTTACAAACTGTGGTTTGGGATGGCCAATCCAAGCCACTAAGGGGACCAAATCCTTGCGTAAGCCAAGGTAAGGATTGAGGATTACTTTTGAACAGCCGAGACAAATGGGTGCTTCTAGAAACGGACCCCCTTTCGCTTTGGTTGAAAGGAAAACCGAAAAAAAAAAAAAAAAAAAAAAAAAAAAAAAAGAAAAAGAGAAAAAAAAAAAAAAAACATCCAGTGCCTGTTTGACCCCCCCCACCACTCCCCACTTTGCTTCCTACCCCACATCCTGCCAACGGGCTTCGCTTTCCGTGCGCCCCAAACATCTTTTCGGCCACACATTGCTCTGGACCGCTGTAGCAACTGTGCTCATCATCCACGTTTCCACCGGGGGTTGAGCATCGCCAGACATCGGCAGGTTTGCTCCCAAGCCCACCGAAAATACGATCCCGCCATGGGGGTTGATCAATATTCCGTTCGGCCCCGAAATGACCATGGGTAACTTTGCCCGTGTGGTGAAGGTCTTCTTTTTGGTGGTTTCCCAGCGATCACCCCATGCGGGGACCTTTTGATCAACCCCCATATCGTTTTGAGATTCTGGCACAGCAAATAGGAAACCTCGCACTTCACTGTTCTTTCGCAGGCCCCATACATGTGTTAAACCAACTAACATAGTCCGAATGTGTGAAATGACAAAACCCCCAAATAAATGGCTTCTTTTTGGTGTCCCCTTAAACCAACCCCAAAATGAGTGTCAACTCCAAGAAGGGTACCCCCTTCCCCCAAACAAACAACAGGGCACCCCCAAAAAAGCCACCACCCCTAAAAATACGGGGGCCGCGGCGCCATACACTCCCACTAAGAAACATAGAAGTGTACAACCTTCCAAAAGGACCATGGTCTTCCAAAAGGGGCCCATACTTCCATGTTTCTTGTTGGGGGTAATGGTGACCCCGGATTAATACACCCCTGTTTCTGCTATGAATATGGGGGTGGTTCCCTCCAAAAGTGATAAAACCCTCCTAAACCTGGGGACACCCCCATATTTATGAACAGGGGTTTATTCATCCGGGGTCACCATTACGTTTCCAGTCAAATCCCCCAGGCCCTCGTCGCGCCTCCTCCTCGTGCCGCGCGTTCCCCGTCTTCCGCGCCAACGCCAGCGCACGCTCCGCCGTCTCCGTGGCATCGATCATCTCCTCGGCCCGTGGCGTTTGGGTCTCAGAGGGCGCCAAAAACGGGGCTGCGACCGACACGGCTTTTTTTTGTGGGAGAAACCCGGTCGGTCCGTTTCTTTGTGTTGTTTTACTGAGAAGCCCGTTTTTGGAGTTTTTCCTTGTCCTTTTTGGGAAAATAGATGGCCCTGGTAGTTGATTGAACCAGGTAAACCAGGAATCGCCCTCTATGTTTCAAGCAAATCAACCAAAATGGACACCTATGGCTGCGACCGAGACGGGTTTTTGGGTGGGAGAAACCTGGTCGGTGCGAATCGTCGTTGTTGTTACTGAGAAACCCGGTTTTTGGAGAAACCTTAATTCTTTTTGTGCGGAACCTCCCCGCGTTTTGAGCTACTGTGGATGGTTGCAAAATCCGCCACGAAATGAAACCATGGTTGAAACCATCATGTTTGTTGGTACTTACTTGCGAATTGTTTGTTGGCTAGGGTTGATGCGAACTGGATTTCGCAGCCAGCCACAGTTGTATGAGAGCCATTCCTACGGAAACAGCCATCCGAGAAAACAAATAATGACACAAGAACCCCCCCCCCTCCAATTGTTGGGTAGTTCATGTTGGTACCCTCCAAACAAATGGAACCCAAACACCCACAAAAGAAAGAGTTGGTATATAGTTGATTTGTGTGTGTGAGCTGTTTTGTTTCCTTTATGTTTGTCCCCTTTAGCTCAGTTTTATTGGCACCACAAAGGAACCCAGACTTAACTGGTGGTTGGACACTTCCCTGATTGTTTTGCGGAACGGAAGCAACATACGGATCCTTCAGTCCCCTCACCTCGCTGGGCGTTTGGAGCCCGGTGGTTTGGACCTGTACCTAGACCCCGAGATTTGGCTTAGGAAAGCTGGGGGTCAGGCCTCCAAACCACCAAGCCCTCGAAAAAACCACCACCGAAGAAAAAAACAAAAAGGAAACCAAAAGGCAAAACCCTCTGAAACCACCAAGCCCTGACTCAGAGGGGAACGTAACAACAAAAAAAGGGGACAACCTCCGGCGCTCTCGGCTGGTCCGGGTCTCCCCCAAATTCCGCTGCTGGTCCGCGGCCAGCAGCAAGGCGCTGGTCTCCCCCTCGTCGTCGTTGATCTCCTCGCAGGGTTCCGACAGCGGTCCAGTCCGGTCCGGTCACTCTGGGGGGTGGAAGTACACAACCCTTGCTCATACCGGTTCCTTGTCTTCCCTGGTTTCCCACTTTTTCAGGGGATATACCCCTTTGAGGAAAAGAGGGGTATGAACATCAGCAGGCCTTTTGTCCAGGCGGTATGTAAAATGAGCAAAGCATTTCTGGAGTCACCCAAAGGCGCAGGCAGGGATTTCTCGTACTGCTTCAAGGTATGCACTTTTGAAACTCATCTTTTGCTGGAAGGGTGTTGGCTATCTCACTAGTTCTCCCATGCCCGTTGGGGTGCAACATGCTTCCAACTAAGGGACCCCCTTGAAGAAACCAAGGGATTATTTGGGTTTGTCCTCAAATGAGGGAACCAGGGATCCTCTTCCCCTTTGACACCAATCGAAAAAAGTGTGCCCGCCGAAATAGACACACCATCCGCAAACCGGACATAAGGAATCCCCGATATGGAGGACCGGCATGCTCGGTGTTTACAACTTGCCGAGAGTTATGCAGCATCTGCCACCCATCACTCTGAAAGAACAAAAAACGCCACGCCAGCTTTTCTTTTTGCCTGTGTGTTTGCGAGCCCCAAAATCCCCCGCTTTTGGCCTGAAAGAGACCAAACCACCTGGTGCCATCCTTTGGGGTGGAATCCCCAGCAAGCAGAGCATGCTGCCTCAGAGAAACATAGCCCTTCTACACAGGAGCGCTTCTCTGGAAATCCGATCAAATCACTTTGCCAGGGGCGAATTTGAGAATCCCCAGAAGAGCAAAATCATCTTCCTTGCAGGCCAGGAGACTCAAAGGCACGAAACTCAGGTGACCTGATGGCACCTTGCTTTCAGAGGGTTTTTGTTGGGGGGCCTCGCGCGGAACACCAATCCAAACCAACCCAAGCCACAAAAAGGAAGCTGAGCGTTTGAGAGAGCCGCGGCTCTTGGGGACCGAAGCAGTCCGTTGGCTTCTCGGGGAATCCCGCCCAGAAGTCACCTGAAAAATGGCTCTCCTTGCAGGAAGCAGCAGTGTTTTACAGGCACTGGGCGGTGTCGTTGCATGTCTTTTTCCGGGAATGCCTCTTTTTGGGGCGGCATCGAGGAATGCCCAGGTGGGTGTTGAAGGGAACTGTTTTGGGGGAATTGAAGGGAACTGTTTTGGGGGAAACAAAAGCAAAAACGGAAGGAAACAAAAGTCCGCTTCCCTCTCATTGGTGGTTTGGATTGGTGGTTTGGAGGTTAGGTACGGGTTTCCCCTTTGTCTCTACAAGAACCAGGGCCTCAAATCCCATCACCAATCCAACCCACCAATTAAGGTCACCCTTCCTCCCACAAACCTAGCATTTGTAGGAGGGTACCTGGAAGATCAGTTTCCTCTTAAAGGGACCCTCTGTCAGGTTCCTTGTCAATTTGGGAGGGTAAGGGTTTCCCAAAAAAAATAACGGGGGGGGGGGGGGAGAAAGAAAATAACAAAAGGAACACCCGCAAAACCCGAAAAAGCCAGGAGCACACCGAGCCCTGAGCCCCGAGCCCCGAGCCCCGAGCCCCGAGCCCCGAGCCCCGAGCCCCGAGCCCCGAGCCCCGAGCCCCGAGCCCCGAGCCCCGAGCCCCGGCCGGAAGCCCGGAAGCCCGGCCCGGGATCGGCGCGGGATCGGGCTCGGGCTTGGCTCCTTCCGGAGATCCGCCGCCAGCAAGCCGTTGCGCACCGCGCCCAGGGGCTCCGACAGCGAGCCGTGGGTGCGGGCGATGGCCTCTGCCGGCCGGCCCGCCGGCGCGAGGAGCGAAGAACCGGACGTGCCGTGGCGGACCAAAATCGAATCCATCCTGGATCGCCAGTGGCGTTTTTTTTTTTTTTTTTCTCCCCCATGCACTTTACCCCCAAGACCAGCAAGAGGTGGCTGAAAAAAGCGATCGCAACTTGGCTATCTAGGATGTCCAGTGAGCGTTTCGCTTGAACAGCGGGAAAAAACAGAAAGCATCCTTGGGCAAATAGAAGTTTGGGGTGGGAAAACCCGAAAACCACTTAAGGGGGCGATCGATTCGGTACGACAGGGAAGTGGTGAGTAAGCCTGGTGAGATAACCCACTGAACGGAGACTTATAATCATGGCCTTTGTGGGTTATAACCCGGCATACTAGCCACTTGCCAAGTACCCTGCTGTTTCTTCATGTACTGTGGGACCCGTTTCTTGGGGGAACTGTTTGGGAAAACCCTGATTTGGATAATTGTTGGGGAAACCAAATGGAAAACCATTGTGTTGGGGATTCCGATTCCTACTGCGGACGAAAACCATTTCCCACCACCCAAGAAACCGTGGTTGAAACCAGCGTTGGGGAATTCAATCAGTGGTGCAGGATGTTGTCCATCTATGGGTGTCTCCAACTATTGGGCCGAAAACGCGTTCTTCCTCTTTGGCTTTCCTTTAAACCTAGACCGCCAAGCTGCGGTTTGCTTTTCCCGGACACTGCACCCTAGAATCGGGTCGCAGTTGCTGGACAACAAGCAGCCACTGGATCGCTCCAGGCTCCGAATGTTCACATCTGAATCTTTGGCGCTTCCCCCAGTGGCAAGTGTGCCTGTGTGAGGATGCAAAGCTAGCATTCCCCTCGTTCCAGCAATCCTAGTGGACGATCCATTGCTTTGCCGCAAAAGGAGTCTTAAACCCTCCGATCGTCGGCTTCGGTCCTTAAGAGGGTGCCAATGTTCTGCCCGCCAAAAGGAAGACCGAAGCCATGCTTGGGCAAAGCCACGCTTGGTTCGGACATTTGGGGGCGCTGTTTTTGCCCACCACTACCCTTGGCTGGACCCCAGCAAAAAATGGAATTGTTGCCTGGTTAGTGGAAAACAAAGGGAACCCCCAAAAAAACAAAAAAGAATAAAAAAGGGAAAGTAATTCTGGGGAAGAACCCTGTTGTTTGACATTTTACCTTTTGGTTTGGTCCAAAAGCCGGGTTTGCGGTCAAAAACAAACCGACATCTGTCCGCGCCTCCAGAATCTCCGCCTCCGCCTGCAAAGCCCCACGGCTCACCTCTGATCCAGCGGCCTCCTGTCGACTGACCAACTGGCAACTGGTGGCGTCCAGGAGGGTTTTCCCTCCTGAAAAACAAGTTTTTGGCTGACCGGTTTGGATGCAATGCCTCACTCCCCCCCCCCCCCCAGTTTGGATACAATCCTAGGCCGGGTTTTCCCGAACTGAAGAGCAAGCCTTTGGCTGACCAACCCCTCAGACTCGCGCGGAAGCTCCCAGAAGGCCTCCGTAAATGGGTCACCAAGCCTTCCAAAGGGCTCCTCAGGGTTTCCATTCACCAAAACATCTGCCTACACAACGAACCTCCAACATGAGAAACAAAACTTTGAAGGGAAATACATGCTGGCAGTCTGAAACTCACCTTACCAAAAAATCAGTTCGACTTCTGCGCCACTGTCCAGGACCATGCAATCTGGCTTCACAAGGCCAAAGGGTCAGACGTCGCGGCGGGGATAAACCAGGCTTCCGCAAGTCACCATTCACCTCTTCTGGGGAAACCCCAAGAAAAAACCCAGCCTAAACCCTCTCAGAAAGCTGGTCACTTCGACCGAGGTGCATTGAATATACCAAGGCGACCGGGACAAAAACTTCACTCCAAACAAAATGTCTTTACCATTGATCATTGCAATCTTTCCAAGCCATTTCTTCCCACAAGTCTTTCCAAGAGGGCCAAACAATACAGGTCCAGCATCACCAGCATCATCTGGACGAGTTTGAGCCCTGCTTCAGTCCTGATTTGGAGGCAGCGCCAAGAGCCAAGGAAGCTCAAAGCCAACCTCAAACTGCCTCCAGATCAACGTTTAAAACGCCCGCGTGATGCTGGCGATGCTGGGAATGCCTCCCCCAGTTATGTCAATCAAGAACCAAACAAAACAGCTCCAGCAGCAAACCGAGTGGTGCACTGCACTCCCAACAATAGGGTGACAAGTGTAATAAGCTCAGGTGAAATCCCCAACAGCACGCGGTGCTGCTGACCGCAAACCACCGATTCAAGCCACCAATCGTAGCGGGTCGAGCACCGGCTGAAGCAAAAGCGGCGGCGCGCTATGATTAGTGGCTTGGATTGGGGGTTTGCTTCCCGTACCCCGGTCAGCCACCGATCGGGGCCCGCTGGCACAGTGCAAGCAGTTGGACGGAAGCCGTGCGTTTTTCTATGGCAGCCTTGTTTGCGAGTCCTCGAACTGGCTGCAAGGCAAGGGGTTCCCGCTGCCCCTGTCACCAACGGCTCAGCTCGCAAAGACTCACCTCAAGGTCATAAGGGTGGAAGTGCCTGTCTTGTCTTGGCGCAGGCTGTGGTGGCATACGATCAGCCGAGACCAAAGGTCGAAAGGCCACCTGCAAGCGATGTGACGCAGCCTTGCCTGTAGGACAGAAATCCTCCAGCTACCAGAGTCAAGCCCTGCGTATGTTCTAGGCAATTGCTCACTGCGCGGTTCCCGAACACGCAGTCGTCTGAGAAGAAGGAACTTAAATCGTACGCGCCAAATGCCGCGGCCGTTCGGTGCCGTAACTGCTTGACGAAGCCCTTTCATAACTCTGCAGTAGCTTCAGCACTCACTGCTTGGATCCATGGCTGAACCCCGTTCGGCTGCACGTTCCTTCTGGGTATCTCTGCCCGTCTTGCAATGTGTGCATCTCTACGTCCCTCTGACTTATGTATCTCGCAAGCTCGCTGAGGACGGCTTCGCATTCCAAGATCTTCAAAAACCCCCCAAGCCTGCCTTGTTCCCCCGCCGAAGTGGCGGAAAGCAGCGTGAAGAAATGTCTGCACGCGTAGGCTCCTGTCGCCATTTCCTCAGAGCCGGCAATCTTCCCGAAACGTCCAACTAGTTGGCAGCACAACAATATTAGTTTCCCCTCCCAGCGCTCACCTGAATGCCTCACTAAAAAACAGAGAGAGGGAGAGAGAGGGCGCGCTCAACCCAAGCGCTGGAAACTTGGCTACCAGCACAGTTGCTGCCCCGCAGGTCCTGGTCCTGTGTGAGGGGTTGCAATAGGGAGCAGCAAGCGGCCCATTGCATTGAGCTTCAGCCTTGACCAGAAAGTGGGGGATGACCTGGGTCAACGCAATCTCTGAGAAGAAATCAGACACTATGCCTGCGAAAAAAGCGCTTAGACTCCAAGGCGTTGCGCTACTGCAAGTCACTGCGAAATTTGGGAACCACAAAAAACCATGGCGCTCGACGGCTTCGCACTGCACGTCGGTCATGTGGCCCTGGCCTGACTAAGGGCGCTTGAAAGACCAGCTTCCTAAGGTGCAGCGCTTGTGGTCGCCGAAACCACACAAGGCTTCGGCTTTTCCTTGCAAGGCAACCAGGCTCCCAGGCCCAATGCGCGGTGGGAGATCTGCCAGCAGCACGGGCACGGTGGGGACGCCCTTAAAAGTGGAGCCGGACAACTGCAGCCGGTCCGCAGGCACCGCGCAGACCACTGCACCATCAGCCTTAGAGGCGCCTGGGCTTCTTTGGAGCCTTCAGTCTGTGTTTGGAATTGAGAAGGCTTGGAGGCTTCAAAACAAGGCTACCTTTTGCAGGCCAATTCAAAAAAAGAAGATCACACCCTTGTTTTGAAGCCAGGCCTTCTGGGAATGGTCAGGACTGGCCACCTGATCAAGATTGGAGGGGTAGGGGGAAAAATGTTTCCCCACCTTTGTTTTGCCCTTGCCGGGTGCTGCCAAGGCTCTAAGGTACAGCTTTCGCACAAACTTCGTCCGAGACCGCAAGAAGTTGGAAAGTTGGGAGATGCTTCGCACAACTCAAATCGAAATGGAGCGTCAGACGGGCAATTTCTGAGAGCTGTGTCCGCGATGGAATCCATAAAGAGTGCGACTGACGAGGCGTCAAAAGCAAAAGGGGCTTCCGGTTCGCACTTACGAAGCACATTTGCGAATAATCACTCCTCCAATTTTTCGCAATACCTTCGCACCCGCACCAAAGACTTCCTGTTGGCTGCGCAGCCTGTTTTAGAGCCTTGCGGGCCCGTCCTTCTGTTTGCCAACGGACTGCGGCTGGGATTTGCTCCAGGCGTGCGAGGGAACAGGCCGTTCGAACACTTGCAGCATTTCTGTATGCTCAAGAAGATGTTGCGGCAGGCAGAGACGTGCCACGCAGATACGACGACGCGCTTGCAGCGGTCACCGGGCCAGCATTTTGGGCAAGGGCGCCTGTTTCCATCATCTCTTCTGTGGTTCACAACCCAGCCACGGTTGGGTCTCCTGCCGCAGCGCAGCACGGCAATCCGAATATTTTGGCCGGGCAAAGGTACTGGGATCAAAGGCACCTGGACGCCACCTCATCTCTTTTGTTGACCCTGCCTCCCTGCGGTGACTCCACGTGCTGACTTTGTTGCCCGACTTGCGCCCTGACGATCTGACTCAATTTTCGCGCGGAGTCAATGAAAAAAAAGAAGGGCCAACTTGCAAACATGTCGGAATCAGGGTGGCAACACCGAAGGTCCCCACCTTCGCTCCTCCAAAGTGGCCAAGATCGAATTTGAAGGGCTCGGCCTTTCTGTTGCGTGTTGGGGCGGCGTTCCAGGATTTGTAGGCGGTTGCTCTGCTGCGCGGTTGCTCGGCCTTGCTGTTGTGTCTTGGGGCAGCGTTCGAGGGATTTGTAGGCGGTTGGTCTCGGCCGTGCTGTTGCATCTTGGTGGAACCTTACTCAGCACCGCCCCGGACCACAGCCCTCGCAGAATCTCGTGGAACACTGGTGAAACCCTGGTGCAACCCTCATGGAGCCTTACCTCGGACCACCCCGGAGCCGATCTGGGCTGAGACCCCAAAGCTTTCAGCGGCTGGGGGAAAAAAACAAGCGAAGGTGGGCCATACGTGGCATTTAAAACCATAAGCCCTTGGAATGACACTGCGTCACCCTTACAGTTGCCCTTAGATCCAAACCCTCCTTAATTGGCCCCCCTCCCCGAAATTACCCAGCCTTGTCGGTTTGCCTTTGGGAAAGAGAAAACACTTTTCAGCACCCAGGTCAGTTCCTATTCCCCCCTGCGCCTGTTCTTCTTACAGTTTAGAACAACAAGGTTGAAGCCATTGAAAATCCTTTTTGGGTGTTCCTCTGAGAAAAGGTGAACTTCCCGGTCTTGAGCCCTTCTTTTGGGGTTCGGCCATTCCTGCGTGCCGAGCGGGCTTTAGCTCTATGAGCGGGCAAAAAGAAGGCAACTTCGCCACACAAATGGTTCACCCCACCCTCTGCTTTCTGTTTTCCTCCAAAAGGGCCTCTTACTTCCTGAGTTGATGGCCAACCAAAAGTCCCAACCCAACTTGTTATTTACCACTCAAATGGTGCAAGCCCAAAAAACTTAAAGCCCGTGAACTCAGGAAGTGAGAGCCTTCTTTTGGAACCTGAGATTCGCCCCGGATCGACTCGGCTCTCGGCTGCAGGTCTGTGGGAAATGGAATTCATGGAATCCACTTCTGTGATACAACAAAAAGGGCCTCCAAACGACTAAGCCCCCAAGAACAAGGAGCTTCCCTGGAAATGGCTGTGGGACAAAAATAGGTACCCAAAAATGGGGTTCCGGGTAAATGGAGTCATGGAGCTGCAACCTGCGGTTTGCTGGTGGTTTAATTCTGACCCATACCTATATCTCCGGCAGAGAGGTTAGAATAAGGGTACCAACATTTTTTCTGGTAGTCTATTTTACTACGGGAACCCTCCCAACCAAAAAAAGAACGGTAAAAGGGCCCCTAGTGGGGGGACCTAGGTTCAAGGTCTTAAGACCCCCCACATGGGCTAGAAAACATGACAGTGCTCGGACAAATCCCCCGGGTGCGATGCGAAAACCTGGCGACGGGATCGACCAATCTCCTGGCGCTCGCGCAGCAGCTGCAGCTCCCGGTTCGCCGCCTGCAGGCCGATCATCGGCTCCATGAGCCCCCGCCGCGCCTGGACCACTGGAGCGAGCGAAGCGCCAGTCGATTCGCGAGCGCCCCTCGCGGGGTTGTTTCCACAAAGGGAAGGGTAGGGTGGGGCCACCCATTGGTCTAAACATGTTTAAACCACTGGTTATGATGATTCTTCCCCCACCCAGCCCAGGGGAAGGGGGAAAAGACGTGGACAAAAACGGAGGGTGAGACATGGCGGCTCAAAAAGTGGTACCCCCCCAAAAAAAAAAACGCACCTTGGGGCAGGTGGACACTCAAATGGAATAGAGTCCAAAACCTGGTGTAACCTTGCGCTTGTGAAACTTTGAGCCACACGGGAGTGGACCCTGGACTCATGACTTGGAAGGACCTTCTGGGATAGAGAAAGATGGTCCACCAATCTCGGGAATTTTTACGGCCAGTCTTCAACAGAATCTCTCCTACGCCCAAATTCCAAAATCCTAGAAATCCACGAATCCTCCCAAAAAAAGATCGGCTTTAGCTTCAGTCAGCTGCCCTCTAATTGGCGGTTTGGAATGGTGGTTTGGCGGGTAAGGGTAGTTTCCCAACTCACCCTCTACAACGACACGGGGTTCAAATCCAAATCCACACTACCAATCCAAACCACCAGGTAGGGAAAGTTGATTTAGGGAAAGGACCTTGAGCACCTGGGGGTTTCTCCGGCGAAAGCGAAGTGCCATCTCTTTCTCGCGAAGGTGCGGAAAGAAGATTCAGAAGATGGCATGCCTTCGCTCTTGATCGCTTGCGTTTCTTCCAGATGAACTTCTCCATGGAAACAATCTTTGGAGCTTCCAAAAAATTGAAGCTGGTTTGGAGACCCGCCCCTCAACCAACCAAAGGGGAAATGGAGGAAACTTCCATTTGGCTGCGGGTCAAAAATGGGTACCCCAAATTCAACCCCGGTAAATGGAAATATGAACTAACATCTGCGGTCCCCTGGTTGTTTAATTTTGACCCACAGCCAGTTGGTTTCCCAAATTGAGACCTTCCATTTGCCCTTTGGTTGGTTGAGGGGCGGGTCTCCAAACCAGTTTCAAGTTGTTGGAAGCTCCAAACATGGTGATGGTTTCCATGGATGCCACCAGTCGATTGATCAACCTTGGAGAGGGACATCTAGTGACCTCTGCTGGGGGAATTTGTTGAGACAAAATAAGTGTGCCATGTCTCATTTTTGCCGCTCAGGGTCCGGGGAAGCGGGAAACGCAATTTTTGTGGGGTCCCGTATCTTAAGACACGGGGAGTAGGGAAACTGGAAGTGCCTTTGGAACAGAACCCGAGCCCTTTTCCGAAATGGCGGCATCGCCGTTTCTTTTGAGGGGGGTCCAAAAACCAACCAAAGGGAAACCCTGTCCAACAAGTAAACACACCAATTGGACGCAGCGCCGGAGGCCCGATTCGGGTTGACCGAACGTCCATCTGGGTTTCGAGAATTTCACAACCCACCAAAAGGACACCTGAACTCGGTTGCTTTCTGCTCCCCTGCTAAACGTTTAACTTTTAGTGGTTTAATACTAATAATAATAATAATAATAAATAATAAAGTTGGCAAAAAGTTAAAGTCCTAACATCCAAGCACAATGCAGCAAAGTGAAATCACCACGGGTAAGGCAACAGTTGGAGGTTCAACCCAGTTTAACCAGGTCTTTGGAAGGTTTGGCTATGGACCAAGGTGTTTCCAGGGAGTTTCTGCTTGCTTTGATGGAAGGTTTGGAAGGTTTCGAAGGCCTTCCACTGGAAGGTTTGGGTTAAACAAAGCTTCGAAAATGTCCGACCCCCTGCTAAAAGCTTTTAGAAGGTCAAATACGGAACACCAACCACTCAACCAACCAAAAAGAACTAAAGAGCTAAGTTGAACCGGCCTGGGAACAGGAATGAGACGCTTTTCCTCTGACTCACCAACTGAAAACCACCTGCCAAAAGTGAGAGCCGCCTTTAGTGGGTGAAACTCGGAAACCCACACCAACCAAACAATACCTGAACCTACGCCCTGCCAAGACTGAGACTCACCTTTGGGTTACATTCACAAAACAGCCAAAACATGACCCAAAGCCTAAGGCCGGGGTGTCGTTTGTTTTGACCTCCCAACAAAAAAGAAGAGCAACTCGAAGCACATCGAGCCAAATGCCCTCGGCGCAACTCGCGTTTCGCCTCCAGCTCGAGGTCCAGTGCCCGGGTGAGGCGGTGCAGCAGGTCCAGGGGCCGGAAGATGGCCATGGCCTCCGTGGCCGAGGACACCGCCTGCGCTCGCGACTCGGCTCGGCTCGGCTCGGCTCCGCTCGGCTCGAGGCGCGGGTTCGGCGAGGCGCTCCGTGGAGTCGAGTGGGAGGGTTTTTGGTTGGTGGGGGGACGTTTTTGGGGGTTGGAAGGGGGGAGGAAGAACCAGAGACATGAACAAGGAAAAAAGGGAAGGAAAGGAAGGAAGGAAGGAAGGAAGGAAGGAAGAAAGAAAGACAAGAAAAGAGTAGAAACACAAGATGGAAAGCACGGGACAAGAGGGAAGCGGGACTGGAGCTCAAAAATCATTGGGTTTCAAGTTTGAAGTCATATTTTGGTTCCAGCCACTAGAAAAGAGAAACGAATGAAAGCTTGTAAGTCCTTCCATGGTCTTGAAAGAGCCCTATGAAACTGGCTTGGTCTAATTGACTGCCTAAAGATGTCCGCTGTTTGTTGGTGGCTGAAAATAGAGGGATGGCCCATCCCAATCCATAATCCCGAGAAGGGATTCTAAAAAGTGGACTCCGTTTTGACAGGCTATTGCCTGACACCTGCACCAAAGGAGGCATCAAACTAAGCCCAATCCTGCCGAATGCCCTGGAAATAAGAGGGTCCCAGAAATCAACTTTTTGGAAACCAAAAAGTGAACTTAAACCCAAGAGTTCGCGCAGCAACCACCTCCAGGTTTAAGTCTACCTTTGGGGTCAAAAAGTGGAACCCTGAGAGGTCTTACAACTAGGAACCAAGGTTTGCCTTGAAATTTTCGGAAAACCCTGGTGGCTAGGATGAGATTTCCCCCTCTAACATCCCAACAAAACAGAACGGCGAGGTTTCCCCCAATCCGATTTTGCCTTCGATTTACACGTATATCTCAAGTGAGCAATGGAGAAACACCCAAATGGTGCCGACCCCCCTTGACTTGTAGTGGGAACCCTCTTTAACAGTTTCCCAAAAGGGAAGACACCAACAACGGGGCGCACCCAAACTCTGGGCAAAGTTCTATGATTCACCAACCTGAACTCCTTAAGCGTGTGATCCCTGTATCTGTGCGCTCGCTATAGTAAGTCCAAATGATGTGCAACGAAAAGGGAACCCGAGTCAAATCTTGTTGACTTCTTACCCAAAAAAAACTGGGGGCCCAATCTTGTTGACTTGTGCAAACGCCTTCTGACCCTGATCCCCCCAGAGGAGCCAACTGATGTTGACACGTAGGACCGAAAGAGAGAACTCAACCAAAACATAGCAGCGGAACCGAAAGGGCAACTTGGGAATCGCACCTTGCGGTGATTTTGCAGGCAAGCGCCACTCAAACAACAAATACCCCAACCACAATCCCACCCCACCCCCAAGCATTTCCAGCGCCCCTCCTAGCTTCCCCCCCCCCCCTTGGGACCCCCCCTGAAAAACCGAAGGCGCCTGCCGGTGCCGACCCAAGCGCAAGCACGCGCGGCCGGACTCCGTCAGGGCAGCCCCCAGGCCCTTCTGGCTGGCGTCCGCCTGGGGCTGGTCTTGGTGCTGCTGTGATTGGGTGGGGTCGCACTGGGAGCTCAAGGTGTGGAGCTCAATCTGGACAAACATACTGCCAGTAGTGAAAAAAAATCCCTTTAAAGCCAACAGGGAACATGAAACGCCATTCTTAAGCCAATGGAAGCTATGCAGTTGATTCAAGTACTCTCATTTGCTTCTTCGCCCCCTGCATTCTTTTTAAAGGTCCAGGTAGTGATCGATTCCCAACAGGAGAAAATAAAGAAATAATCTTAAACAAATGGAAGGTTGGAGAGGGTGGAGTTGGGGTGGGGCTGGTGCCTTGGTGTGCTAACATGGACTGGGAAGGGCGGGAGGGGGGTGGGTGTGAAAATTTTTGGGGATGAGTTCAACCATCCTTTCCAGCCATGCTTTTTCAAAACTGGATCCGTTTATTCTGGGTTTCTGGAGGTTTTCTAGAAAGAGGCATCCCTGGAAACAATGGAGCAGGGACCCTAGAAAAATTGTGGTGTTCCTCTTGGCGTCCCTTGAAAACCAACCAAAAACGGGGTACTTTAAAAAGACTCAAAAATAGATGAGCCCCCCAAAACCTGAAAATCAGCTTGGTTCGCCTGGGAATGTTCAAGCGGCGGAAATACCAACCCATGCTCAAAGCATCTCCAAATTTGCTATAATAACACTTGAAGATGGGGATCCTGAACTTGGCTGCTGTAACCCCTCTGCAAAAAGTATTCAACTTCTTGTGAGTCCAATTTGGAACAGTCCACCTGTTTCAACAAGTTGAATTAAAGTCCAAAGATGCAAGCAAAATGGCCCTAAAGTTAGTACTTGCAACCCAGGACTTAGGAGCCTGGTCAAACTTAGAGGGTTCCGGGTACCAACCTATGCTGAAAACATGGCCGGTCGCTGCTGCCCTTAGGAATCATTTGGCTATGGGTCAAAACCCAAATCATGCCCCCAGTGAACATCCCAATCCCCACTAAAACAGGATCTAAAATGGGTGGTGACCTACCCCAAAATGGTACCATTGGTTTTGACCCGCAGCCATTTGGCTGCCTAAATCGTATTGGGGATCCATGACCGTCCCTACCAACCCCCAATGCAGGTCGTTTGATCGTGGCACATGCAGGGTGATGCTTCTTTTGCTCTCAGGTCAGACGTGCTTCGACATGAAACCCCCGTGACGCTGAGCCACGTTTAAACCACCCGGTGGGTCAACTTTCACTCATTGCTTGCTTGACGTTGGAAGGGCAGCAAAAATTTGATTTTTAGCAGTTAAGTGGGGATTTCAACCACTAAACCGCAAGAAGCAAAAATGCAACATGTTTCCCAACAACAACCATGACTTAGGTTGCCGTTTCAAAGGTCACTGGGGAAACCGGTGCAAAGGGTTTCCCGGAAGGAAGCCAAATGTTTGACCGCGATACCCCAACCTGCCAACATCACCAACCAAACAAATGCGTACGCTCAAAAAGAAGAAGAAAAGCACGCAAAGCCTGAAAGCCAGCTCGAACATGTCCAGTCATCCCCTGGAAACCAACCATTGTTGAGACTCGCTTCTCTGGGCTGTTCCCAGATTTGCTAAAAGCTTTTGAAACTCAACTCGGGCAACGTGCCGGCATGGTGTGGAAATCCGGATCTCTTACAAAGACCCAATCAACGCAACGTATCCAAAAAGTGGCAAGCGCGTCTCGTTGTTTCGAGGGGGGTGATTCTTCTTTTCAACCCCCGGGTGGTTGATGGCTTGCAAAGAAGGATGCTTGGAAAGAATGGACACGGAAGCTTCCCCTACCTTTTGGAACATTCAACTATGAGCTCCTTTTGCCGGTTGGTGTTTTTCCAGGTTGGGCAAGATGTCGGAGCCCTCAGCTGAGGTTGGCGTTCCGGGTGCCACTGTGCCACGCTGGAAAATGGAGTCAAAAGCTTGCTGGCGCTCAGGGAGTGGGGGAATGAACCGAGGGATTCCCAAAGGAAACCACCAGTTGAACTGATGGATCCAGGGTCAGTCCATTTCTCATTCCCTACCTATCACACCAGCATGGTTTCCCTAAACCCCAAGATCCTGTTTCCTCGAATTCATTCCGTTTCTCATTCCCCTGCATCTCTCAAACCAGCAAGGAAGGTGTGCCAGGTTTCTTTTTCTTCCGATGTTTTCCAGGTGTCCTTGGTTTCCGGAGGTCTCCCAGCTTCCCCTTTCCCCGCTCCAACTCGCTACTGAGCACCAGCAAGATTTACTATTTCGTTGTTAGGGGTTTCATATGTTGGGGTTACATGTATATGCTTTTATATATGCTCAGGACCCCCCCCCCCCCGAACTACCTTTTGGGTGCTGTTGCTACGTCTCAAGGTCAACAATTGTGCTTATCTGAAGGGCAACTATTCTGCTTATCCGAAGGGCAACTATTCTGCTTATCTGACCACATATACATATATATATATATATGTATATATATATATATATAATATACATATATATAATATGATTCCCAGGTCCCGACTCCCCCAACTCACGCGACTCGACTCACTCGACTCGCGTCCCCGCGGCTCGCCTCCGGTCCGGTCAAGCCCCGGTAGAGCTCCGCGCTGCGCTCCGCCGCCTGCAGCGTCTCCTCCGGCGTGGAGGAGGTGCCACCGCCGCCTGCGGCCGAGGGGCCGCCAGGCGGTGGGTGAGGCGGGTGAGACGGGCGACTGGGGTGAGAATGGGGGGGGGTTTACGTGGGTTCACCCAAAGAGTGTACAACCTTCCAAAAAGAACATATTTCTTGGTGGGGGCAGGTTTCCAGTCAAATGGCCATGGGTCAAAACCCAAATCGTACCCCCCCAAGTGGTGAACATCCGATTCAATCCAACCACTAAAATAGGAAGCCTAAAATGGGTGGTGAATTCACCTACCCCAAAATGGGATTCCAAAACGGCTTTGACAACCACGGCCACGTGGGTCCGGGTCAAAATGGGGGGGGGACGCGGCGTGGGGGGTGGGAGTCATGGTGGTTGACTGGGTCAAAAGGAGAGGGAGGGAGGGGTGGGGGGGGGGGTGTTGGTTAACTGGGGTCCAAATTAGGATTTTATGTTGGTGTTCCCTTCAGTCTTGAGTCTCTGCGTGGTTCTCTTTGTGGTGGGAGTGTCTCTTTGATTGTGCGGGGGATCATGATTGTGGAACCCACGAGGGATTTCATCAAAGAACAAATAAAAACGGGGCGAGCCACGGGCATTCGAACAAAAACAACTGCAAACGAGGCACCTGTGAATGGAACCTTCACCGTTTCGTTTCCGGTTGCAAACACCGGGGTCCACATGGCACGAGTCACTCATTGGGGACATGTACACACACCAAATAGCACACCTTTTTTTCCAAACGAAGGTCCACCGCCAAAACACAAAAAAAACAACTGGAGAAAAAGGTTTCTCCCACTTGACAGACCTGGCTTTGCAGCTTTTTTCTTCCAACAGGCAGCTTTCAGGGAGGGTTCAAAACCAGATTCGGTTCTACTGGGTTGGTTTTGGGGCTGTTGGGCGCCTGCCGATCCCCCCTAAAAGCGACTCACAAATTACAAAACCCCCAAAGGTGAAACCCGGAGACTCCGGCTCCCTCGCTCTTTCCGCTTTTGGAGCATTCAACTATGAGCTCAACTTCGGTTGCTGTTTTTTCCAGGTTGAACATTCCCCTACCTACATAGGTGTCCTTTTTGGGGAAATAGATGGCCCTGGTAGATGATTAAACCACCAGGTAAACCAGGAATCGCCCTCGATGTTCCAACCAAGACTTCACATCTGATGAATCCAAAGGGCCGTGCCTTTGGCGGTTTTCCCAGTGGCAAGTGCGCGGTATCCTGCCGGCTGGGTGGTTTTCCAGCTTGGTCCCCGCTCTCCGCATGGCCCTCCCCGCTCGCCGCCTGCGGCCATCTCCCGGTGGCGGTGCACCTCGGCGATGCGGAGCCAGGCCGCGGCCTCTGCGGGCTTGCCGCCGCCCCGCTGGGCCGCCGCCAGGAGCTCCTGCGAGGAAGCGAGGCGAGAGGCGTTTGCGGCAGGAGGAGGCTTTTTTGCGGCAGGGGGAAAGGGGAGGACGCGGGGGGAGGGGTTCCTATGGAAAACGCGGTTATTGGAACGAGGAAAGGGGAGGACAGGGGAGGAAAAGGGGTTCCTACTGTGGATGGTTGCGAAATCCATTTCGCACTGCCTAAGAAAGCCTGGTTTCTGATTCGATTCCCCAACGTAAATACCAACAAACGGTGGTTCAACCATGGGTTCAAAGTGGTGCAGGATTTCGTCCATCCACAGTAGTAAAAACACGGGGGCTTTAGGGTTCCTATGGAAAACGCGGTTGTTGGAAAGAGGAAAGGGCTCCGTTGGGAAATGCTTGGTGGGTTTCGGGTGTCTATTAAAAACAAAAAAACACTGTGGGTAGGCTGGGTTTTAACAAAATCAAAACATAGAAACCGCGGTGAGTTTGGGGATTTTATATCAGAGAAGAAAGGGGGAAATATCAGATGAAATCAGGATCAAAACAGAAAAAGTCAGAACAAAATCAGGCGGGAAATCGGGTGAAAAGGAGCAGGGAGAAAACAAAAAACAATCCATCCTGAGGGGCACCATGAGTACAGCCTCATGATTTCAGGGAAATGGCTAATACAAAATGTTGGGATGGGCGTTTTCGAGGGTACCCTTTACCCATCTCTCAAGCATAAATCTCCCTCTATAAAGAAGGCCCACCAAAGGGAAACCAGGAATCTTGTGTCGGGCTTTCCCTCTTTTGAGGGAAAGGGGAACAAAACCATTGGGCGCCCTTCCAAGAATGGCGGCGGGGGCCCCTGTGGGGGCTCTTAGAGTCTATCCTTGTTGTTTTGGGTATTGGTCATTGAGGCGTGTCTGCAAAACTGCCTATGACTTGACCCAAATCAGGGGTTCACAAACACATTCAGATTCTGTTTCGCATCCATCCAAGAAATCTCCAACATACCTTTTGAACATACCCCAGACCCCAAATGACAGCAATTATCATCATGGGAGGCTTGGGGCATGCGGTATGTTTGAGGGTTCTTAGACTCGAGCCTACCCTAAAACTCTCGGAGTTTCGGAGACGAGGCTAAGCCGAGGAGCTCCGCTGGTGGAGATCAATTTCACTTTGGAAATGACCAACCCCTCAGCTCAAGTCAATTGGCGAAAAAAGAAGAAAAAAAGAGGCAGACAAAAAAACTGGACTGGATCCTGCCGCTTAGGTGACGTCCACAAACACTTGCACCGGATGAAAGGTTTGAAGGAAAACCGGCATCAAGGCTACCCTCTGGTTCAACTTTGGGGGGAATTCACAAACACAACCCCTTTCAAGTCAACAACTTGAGGGGGAGCCAAAAAGACATAAAAACTTCCAAGCCCTCCTCGGAAGTCCCATCCCCTTCCCATCTTCCCCCCGTGCTCCATGGAGGCGCGCATGGCGTCATCCAGCGCCCCGCGCGCCAGTTGCACTGTTACCTGACAATTCCGTGGCCTCCCTTGGCCTTGCTTCTGAAACAAAGCTCCCCCCACAACACACCAACGCTCTGGATGGCTGCGAACTCCAGTTCGCACCGCGAAATGACCACGACATGACACCATGGCTGATGCCAGCTTTTGCTTGGTATTTGTAGGGGAATCGAATCAGAAACCGGGGTTTCTTAGGTGGTGCAAGATTTCGTCGTGGCCAAAACAAAACACAACAAGAAGCTCCCCTCCCCGCAAAAACAAAAGGAAACGAAACGGAAGAAACTAACGCAAACTCCCACAGAATCCTTGAAAATGCAGAACAAGCGCCGAATGGTCCGAAAAAGAAAGTGGTTTGCTTTTGGCGTCCCTTTAAAGCCATGCAAAGCAAGCCCTCAAAAAACACATACTCTTTTCCGTGTGTCAAAATAGGAGGACCTCTAACATGGCAATGTTCTTTTTGACTTTGCTTTATTCCCTGAAAAATGGCACGCCTCTGGTTTGGGGAACCTCTTCTGGATGGGTTTGGAGGGAAACCAAAACGTAGGGGGTTCATCGAAAGGGGGAAACCGACAAAGATAGCCAACAAACCACATGGGAAAGGTGACTCATGGTCATTTCGGGGCCTTGTCGAGAGTATTGATCCACCGATTCCTACCTTGAGACACAATGTTGAAGTTCCTCCCCTTCCGTCCGAAAACATCGGAAAAGAAACGATCCGAGTTGTGGGAAAACATGTCCCATAAAACCGGACAAGCTGTTCAAAGGCCCCAAAATGTTGACCCCAGATTAACAACCCCAGTTTGTTCATATGGGGGTGGTCCCCTCCAAAAGTGCTGAATCCCCACCAAACCCAGGGACACCCCCCTATTGATACGCCCTAAGGGTCATGACCCCTCCAGTGGAGAACCCTGCCTTTTCATGGGCCCTCAAAAACAACCCAGGCTTGCAGTTGGAGGCATAAGGTGGCAATAAGGCCCGCTATTTTGACCCAGTGAATCAACATAAAGCCTCCCGGTCATAGTTTCTAAGAAGAGTCTTGTTGCTAACTGGTCGGATAACATTTTAGCAACCAGCAGTTTTGTCAGAGGTCTTGTACCCTTCTTGGGGTTCCAACCCCCACATTGAGACCCACCCAGCCGTGGGAACCGGTTCCCAACCCATGTGGTGGACACTTAGGGTCTATGTTGCAACCTCCTTCTTTTAGGGTATTGTTCTTTTTCTTCTTTTTTCTCGGGTTCATGGTTGCAACATGGACTCTAGGTTTCCATGCCCCCCCCCCCCAAACCCACCACCCCCAAAACCCCCCCAAACCCCCGCAGCCGCCCCGTCCGTCGCCCCGTCGCCCCGTCCGTCGCGTCGCCTGCATGGCCAGCGCCAGGCGGTGCAGCCGCGCGTTCGCGGTGAGCTCCGCCGCCGCGGCGCGCAGCGCCTTGGCCTCGCGCGGTCTCGGGGGCGGGGGGGGGGTTGGGGGGGGGTTGGGTTGTGGGGGGGGGGGGGGGTGGTTGAGACAGGGGTTGGGGGGGAAGGGTAGGTTGGGGGGGGGGGTTGGGGGGGGCACGGGCGACGCTGGGCCGCGGCGGGACCCACTCCGCACGCCGCACGGTTGGGGAGGAGAATGCTTGGCCGAGGAGGGCGGCGAAATCCAGTTCGCACGAAATGAAACGACCTTTGGAAGATCTTGGATCAGCATGGTGGCGAAATCCATTTGACCATGGAGCTTAATGCCGGGCCAATTGACCATGGGTCAAAACCGGAAGGATAATTTTGGCCGAGGACTTCATTGGCGCTGTCAAAAGGCCGGTTCCTTCATCTTACTAGGGTTCCTCCATTTACCCAGCTGCCATTTTGGTACATGGGTGAAAACCAATGGTACCCCCAGCGAACATCCCAATCCCCACTAACATAAACTTAAAAATGGGTGCACCTATCCCAAAATGGTACCATTGGTTTTGATCGCAGCACTCTGAAACCCATTTTCGCTGGTACTGAGGAAATCCCATTTCGCACCACGAACTGAAACCATGTTTGGAACCAGGCTATGGGTTGGTTTTCTACCCTGGGGCATCGAATCAGAAGCCAGGGTTTCTGAACGGTGGTGCGAAATGGATTTCGCAGCCATCCACGGTATTCAAAGGGAGCCTCAGAGGAAACCGCTCATTTGGGGCCGTTCCGATTCCTATTTTGAGACAAGACCAATTTGTTGAATGAAACCTTTTCTAGCGCCAGCATGGCTTGACACCTTGGAGCTCGCGCGAACTTCAAGAGGAGGCTGAAAAGCCGCCGGGCGGTTTGACCCATACCTCTGAGGGTTGCTTACCCATTCTTGCCAGGGATCCTTCTTTCTAGAAAACCGCCAAAAGCCTTGGGAAAACAGCTGGTTGTTGAAAAGAACGATGGTTGAAAAGAATGGAATTGGAATCAACCCCTACGCGACCCCAACTCCCCCCGGGTCGACGAAAAAGAAAAAGAAAAAGAAACAAAAAAATCGCGCGCGCCGAAGGCCTCGTCGTTCGCGTCGCTGAGGCGGCCATCTCCCAGGCACAGCACCACGGAGGCCAGCTGTGCTGCCGCCTCTTTAGGCGCCGACGCGAAACGAAAATCGATCCCCGGAAAGCCCATTGGTTTAGTACGCAACCAAGGGCTTGCCCCGAGGAGTCGATTGGTTCAGCAGGTACCCAAGAGCTTTCTGCCCTTTCAAACGCCAACGGTGACCTACTATTGTTGCAATCTACCGGGAAGTACCGGGATCCACACATGGCTTTTCCATTTACCCTCCCACCCCTAAACAAACAGGGAACCTGAGGTAACCGGATCGGTCCTGGTTTGGACCGTTCTCCTCTTGAAGGGACCGGGTCCGTGTCAGGCTGCATGTCAATTGGCGTAGGGAACCAAGGGCTTTTTTCATCCTTTAAAACACCAAACGGTGAAAATTGTTGGTGACCTACTATAGTGGCAATCCATTTTTAAATATTAGACATAATAGAGTTTAAGGGTCATGTTTTATGTGTAAAAATGACCAAAATACTATTATTCCTAGTCCTGACACTCCTTTCTTGTTGAGCGGAATATTTGGCATGTTTCATGCTTTCTGGAGCTCTTTCTACAAACCATGGTAAAAAAAAAACACATTTCGCCTTCTTTGAGGGTCTTTGGTTCACAAAGACCCTATGCAAAAAGTAGCCACTTGGAAGCCCATAGAAAGGGGATCTTTCAACATAACACATCTTTGACAAAGGTCACATCCCAAGCTTCCCCCTTTCAAGTTCGAATGAATGAACCCACCCCCCACCAAGCTGGTTGCCTCAAACGCCTGGAGGAAAAAAACAACTCCACCAACGAATGGCCTGCCTTGGACCCGCTCGATTCACACACCCAGCTTGCTTCAAACGCCTGGAGGAAACTCCACCAACGGACCGCCTTGGATCAGCGCCAGCGCCCTCCGAAACGGCCGCGCCTGGTGCGCTAGAGACTGGCCCTTGACGCGGTCCTTGGCCTCTTTGACCTCGGGCCAGGTGTCACAAAGGGCCATGGGCTTTTCAAAATCCGAATCGGTTAGCGGTTCGCCCCCAGTGAACATCCGATTCAATCCAACCGCTAAAATAGGAAGCCGAAAAAGGGTGGTGAATTCACCTGCCAACCAAAATGGGATCCCAAAACGGTTTGACAACCACAGCCAAATGAATGTCACCAGCTTCATTCGCGGCTTACTCGGAGTTTCCTACTCCAGACGAAGTTCAACCAACCTGTTCATTAATAGGGGGTGCTTGTCCCTGGGTAAAATCTGGGGAATCAGACCACTGTCAACCTTATATCTCCTGCCCTGTTTCACACAACCACGTACACAAACTCATAAACTGGCCTGTCAGAAGAGGAAATCGAGCTACCCTGCAGACTTCTGGGCCCGTCTTGGCTCGTGAGGCTTGGTCGCCTGGGCTGGGCTAAACCTTGTTGGTTCAGATAAAAACGGCCAGCTGGTATGACAGGATGTCTCCTCCTCCGGCCCATCCCTGGACCACTCCTCTCCAGGCGTCTCATCATCCCCACTCTTCAGGCGGCCGCTCCTCATCATTCGCGGGCCAATGACAAGACAAAGCTCATGCTTTGAGTTGTCGCCGTATTGTTGGCTCTTCTTGAGCAAGTCGCAGAAAAGCGGTCAGCGCCAAATCACTTTGCGTCCCGGTCAACGTGAGAGGGCGACGTCTGGCATAGCCATTACTTCATTCTTCTTGGTTCATGTGTGTGGATTGTTTGGCTCTGCTCCGTGTTGTCGGACGAACATTCAGATGGCATGGCCATTATTTCACTCCTCTTGGTTCATGTGTGTGTTTTTGTTGGTTCTGTTCGCAAAAAAAAAAAGACTGTGGATGGAAAAAATCATGCACCACATAAGAAACCCTGGTTTCTGACGATTCCCCTGCAATCCCAGGGTTTCTAAAGTGGCGTGAAATGGATTTCGTCCATCCACAACACGATCGTAAGATAATTTACTTATACTAGTGGGGAGATGAAAACCATTTTCTTGGTGTGGTTCCCCCTGTCAACCCTACAAAGGGAAGGGTATTTGAGCATAATCAAAACCCAGTAGTAAAATGGTCGACCCAGAACCATGTAAAGAATTACGATGGCGGATATCCGCAGCTATTTGTGGTTGGGATTGTCCCTTGCTAACCTTCATCTAGCCGAATCGGTTTTGATTGTGGCTCATTCGGGCTGAATAGTCCATCCCCTCGTTGGAAGGAAGCTCACCCATCCCCTCGTCCACCTCTCACGGATTTTGGTCGAGGCGCCAGATCTGCCGCGGGGCTGCCCAGGCGCTGCTTCGCCCGCACCTTTCGGATCGATGCGCTAAAAAGCGCCAAACTCAATCCTGTGTATGAATTGTCAATAGGGGGATCTAGGTGGGGATTTATGCGGGTTTTTTTGTCATTTAGGTGGATTTAGGTCCACCAACCACTTTTCAGGTAAAGTGCGTACTGTTTAACGGGGACCGTAAGAATGCTGGGGGTGCTTTGGCGTCCCTTTAACCCCGCAAAAAAAAGCGAACCCTCCAACAAATGACCCACGCATATTGGGAACCCACCAACCTCGTTCACAATAGCCGCAGGTCCTCGTTTTGTTTGGGTCCTTAAACCCCCCAACGTGTGTGAACCATGCTTTTGGGAGTCCAACTGCTCATGATGCTTAAACCTACCCCCTGTCCTTGGCACGTCAAAACCCCACACCCACCCCACCCACCCCACCCACCCCACCCACCCCACCCACCCCACCCACCCCACCCACCCCACCCACCCCAGCCACCCCTTCCCCCCCCCCCATCCGCGTCCGCGAAAGCCCGAGGCCGGCGCCAGCAAATGCAGCGCCAGCGGCGGTTCGTTGGCCGCCTGCGCCTCCGACAGCGCGTCCTCCGCGCGCCTGACGTTGCGCTCGCACCATGCGTATCAAAGAAAACGCAGGAGGAGGGACATGTTGTATACATAAATTGTCATACTGGTATATACATGTATGTGCATACATGTGTATATATATATATATATATATGCATTAGCATATATGTGTTTGTATGTGCAGATGATGTACCTGTAAATATGCATATGATTACATATACATCTAAATACATGTGTATATGTATATACGCCACTGAGTGTTCTGCTCTGAGGAGTTGAAACAAATGATTTGGGGGTGCCATATAGTTTTTGTTTTTTTACCGGCGTAAAAACAAAGAGCCGCGATGGCGAGCTCCTGCTAACACCAACAGATTGCATCGAATTCCAACGATGCTGGATGCTGACAGTTTAAAAGTCTATGTAAGTATATATGTATATTGTATAACACAATGAGAGATGTATATATATATATAACTTATATTTATCTACACATATGGAGAGCGAGAGAGGGAGGGGTGAATTTTCAATTCAGTAAACATACACATATGTATGTGTACGCATGTGGAGCGATATTACTGGATCTGTGATTGAGCGTTTTAGTGCAAACACAGAGCGCTGCACGGAGCCAAAAGAAACATCCCACCCGCACGACGCAACTATTGGGCAAAAGAAACTGGATAACCCTCCCACCAAATAACATGGAACCTGACAGGGGCTCCTTAAAAGGAAAATGGTCCCGCGAGCGTCAGGTTCCATGTTGAACGGTGGGAGACTAACCCTCGCTACTTTCAAACCAAATTAATTTGTTTTTTAAGGATGCGACACAGAAAAGGTCCCGAGCAGGCGATCGTTGAAGTTGGAACCCGGTTCAACAAGAACTAGTTACGGGCCCCTTGAAGGAAAGGTTGTGTCAAGTCCCCCTTTCTGGCTGTTGGAAAGAAGGAAGAAGGCCCTGTTGCCTTAGAGAAAAAGGAAAGGCAACAGGGCAAAGGGAAAGAAGGAAGTGAAAAGGTTGGGAAAAGGAAAGAAGGAAAAGAGAACAATTGGGGGGATACAAGGAGTACCCTCTACCACGCCCAGGAAGCAACGTGGCCCACCCAAAACCGGTACCGGGGGAATAGTTAAGGCCATTTGCTCAAATAGGAGTTGGACCCAACAAAATGTTTAGAGCTCTTCTAGTTTCTCCTTCGGGGTCATCACCCTCAATTGAATGGTGGATTCAAAGATCTTCCCCAAAGCAATCGAATGAAAGCCTCTCAAAAAAGGGGGGCCTCTTGCAGAGTTCTTGCACTCTCATCTGCTTTGAAGTTGCTTTTGAAGTGAAACCAAAGGACCCCCCCCCGCACAAAAAGAAAAAAAGGAACAAGCCTCTATTTCTCGAGTGGGAAACCAAAGGCCCCCCACCCCCACTTGTTGTTCAACCCAGCCCCAAAACAACAAACAACAGCCTTGTCGAAGGGGTACGCCCCCCCAACAAAAAACCGAAAAAAGAAAGTGGGAAACCAATGAAAGGCACCCCCCCACCCCAACCAACCCCCCCCCCCCAAAAAAAAAAAGAAAAAAGAAAAGAGAAGAACGGCCTGAAGAGAGGGTCTCTTCGAGTGGCCCAATAGACGCGGAGAGAGTTGCGGCCCAGGCCTCACCGCCAATTGCAGGTCCCCGTTGTCGAGGTGCTTCTCCGCCTCGTCATAGGTATCCATAGCCTGACAGTCCGGTGCCAAGGTACATACCCCTTTTACATACCCCTGCGCATGAACTCAAAAAAAAACGTGCTGATGTTCATACCCCTCTCCCCAAAAGGGGTATATACCTCTCATAAAGTGAGTTGGAAAACGGACTTAGACCCTTAGAGACAGAGTTGCCTTGTCCCTGGGCAGTGTTGGCCTAGAGAAATTCTAGGGGTAGCTTCCATTTCCATTCTTCTCCAGGGATCCGGATCTTTCTAGAAAACCTCCGGCTACCCAGGGAATACGGCCGGTTGTTGGAAAGAACGATGCTTGAAAAGAATGGGGAATCAAAGCCCAGAGAAATGGCCTGCCCGCCTGGCTCGAGGGCTTTCAAGGCTGGAACCCCCAAAAATTTTGTTTGGTTGGACCCCCCAAATTAGCTTTTTTTCGTTTGGTTTCCTTTTAAACCTACCGCAAAAGAAAACAGAACACGCGCGAAGATTGTGTCGGCTCCCATGATCAAAGTGCTTTCAGTGGCTATGCATTCTCTAGCTCACCCTGGATGGTCCCGCGAGACTCAAGCTGTTGAGCGCAGCCAATTTCACAAAGGCCAGCAAGGAACAACACGGCACTGTCATGGGACACCCCGGAGAAAAAAAGGCTCTCATCCAAACAGGCTGTTGCTTCAGACAGGATGTCACCCTGGAGGTCACCGGTCATCTGAAAGCGGACGGTTCGAACTTTCACCCCTGGCAAGCAGTCGCAACGATGACATCAAGTTGACATGTGCTGCCTGACACAGAGTGTTTTACACAACTCGCCCATTTGTTTCTGAGGAATATGGGGGGCAGTCCCCTTTCAACCCACAAATAAGCGCATCTAAAAAATGTCAAGCAGAAGCGCTCCAATCTATCGCTTTGGAAAAGAAACAAGCAAGGACCAGCAGGAAAGCCGCGGGCGTTGTAAAACAAATTCACCGACCAAAATATGGGATCCCCAGGTGAACCACTGTTCAAACTGCCCTGGCTGTTTGTGGGAAATTGAGAGTACTGTGAATGGACGAAATCCAGCACCTGGAAGCCATGAGTCAAACCATCGGCTGGTATTTGCACGGGGAACGGAATCAGAAACCAGGGTTTCTTTGTTCGGTGGGGTGCGAAATGGATTTCGCGAAACCATCCACAGTATGTCCCTCCCAAATAGGCCAGAGGACAACTCCGCACATCTTGACCGAACCTCAAAATCAATCGCAGACCCCCTCCCGGTGCGTAACCACAGATCCCTGCGGGCGTCCCTTGCTCCGAAATCCCTGGCACTGGGAAATCAGAGGAAGCCAAAGGGCGCCAAAGGGGAAAAACGCTTTTCTGAAGCAAACAAGTTAGTTTCCGAAAAGAGAAACCAGAAGCCAAAGAAGAAGAAGAAAATCGCTTGCAGTGCTCCGAATCTAAAGCAAAAGGTCGGAATAGCTTCCAAAAGGGATTCACCAAAGGGAACGCTTCACCAACTCACCCACGCGTTTTGATCCGGTCAAGGGATCAAAGGATTCATTCCCCATGCTCTTCTGCCACCTGTCTCTGAACCCACCATGTTTCCCTGTAGGTCTGTCACAAGAGAACTGGCCTCATTGTTTTACCGTGGTCAAAGTCACCCCCTAAGTGATGGGTTAAAATGATGACCCCTGGAGAAGGACCTCTGAAGCTGGGGAAGCCAGCTGAAGGGCATGGGAACCCGCGGAGTTCGTCCGGCTTGCGTCGTCACTCACTCCGTCGCCCCGCCTGCGGTCCACCGGCAGAAAGCTCGGCCGAGCTAAGTTCGGCGCTCAGCCAAGCTAGGCGGCAGGTGGCCCACGTGTGGCGACACCGAGTCCCTTGACAACAACAAAGAACCACCAACGAAACAAAACGAAAGACGACTTGAGCAAATGACCTCTAGAAGTCATACACGTCTGGGAGACGGATGCCTCAACCACTCACTCACTCACTCACTCACTTCCCATCCAGTGGATGGTGGCCAACAAAAGCGGCTTGTTGGTTGCCACCGGTCCCAAAAAGTTTCTAGTCCGGAAACTCAGTGCGAGTCAAAGTGGGACCCCCCGAAACTGGCGGCTTTCCAAAAATGGCCTCTCTTTTAATATTCCCCCCCCCCCCAAAAAAGAGACAAGACCAAGAAAAGGAACCAGAACCCACCTTGTGTAGAGGTCCCGCAAAGCTGGGGGATCCTTTTGTTGGCCCCCCCAAAATGATGGCTTGGGGGTTCCATGTTGATACCGATTTGCAACCTGAATGTTGGCCATGCCCTTCGATACCCTCTACCCCTTCAGTTTCCTAAGCTTGAAAAGCGCATGTGAGTCGCCCTTCTGGCGTCTAGATCCTGATGAAACCCGAAGACGAGCTGGGGGTTGGGGACACTCCCAAAGGATCCATAGGAAGCTTCGACGAGTGTACTCGTATAGCGTTTGAGTGGAAGCCACAGGGAAAACAAAACCCATAAAATTGCGGTACCCTCTCCAATCCTCAGGGGAAATGGAAGGGAGCGGTGGCTGAAGAGAATTAGGAAGCAACCTGTTCCATGCGACAAACACATCATGTCCCTGCAGATGTCCCCCAATATTTCCCCTTTGGGTAAATACCCCCGGTGTCGATTGTCGATTCCCCGGTTCTTGTGACGGAAATCTGGGAGCAGCCCAAGAAAACGCTTCTCTGCTTCCCAGCCGCCGAAAGCGCGCAGCCCAGATTTTTCAAGCCCTGCGGCGGTACCTCCAATGCTTCTGTATATAACCATGGGCCGTGGACAATATTGTTTGTTCCCCTCAAGGGTGTGGGAAATTGGGGTGCCCCTGGCCATGTTTGTTCTTCCCACACCCACAATCTAAGAAGGAGACCGCCAATAAATATAGTAAGTGGCTACGCGATTCTTCAAATACGTGATATGATATTATGTCTATATATGATGTAAATCATGTACAGCTTTACGCAGCTGCCGAATAGCCACTGCATGGTTTCGTAATTTGGGAATCCCCAACCCCCCAACCTCAGGAGTTTTGCTCACCGTTGAACAGCCGCTGGGTGGCGCTCGACACCCCCCCCCCCCCCCACGCCTTCCTTTTTTCCCCCTACAAAAGGCGCGCTCCGAATCTCTGGCCTGGCGTTCTCGCGGGAAAAGGCCAGGTCAAAAGGAAAAAGCCCCAGCTCGGCCGGGGCACTTTGCCCTCGCAACGAGCCGGGGGAAAGGCGGGCATCAGGTTGCAGCCTTCAGAGCCTTGGCCACGTCCTCGCGAGGACGTGGTGATGGGGAGCACCCGGGCAGCCGGGTTTACCTTTCCAGCCTGGAGCACCCAAATGCCTTGGAGACAACACCCCCCCCCCCCATTTTTGACACATAAGATTCTGCGTGTATACATGGGGGTAAGCCAGGCATCAGCAAGCCGTGTCAGGTTGCTGGCTGAGGGGCTTGTCGAGAAATCTTTGACCTCTGCCCACCACATGCAAGAAGAGTCCCCCTTGAGAGCTTTCCCAAAAATCCAGCTGAACCCGCCCAGTCCTGGAAGTAGGCACTCCAGATGCCGCCAAATCAACCAAGGTAGGAGTTCCATTCAGAGAGGAGCCAGTCCCATGTCTGCGTTTCTGGGCCCTCTGGGCTGGCCTCGGATCCCCCACTAAACATGACTAACCTTTAGTGGGTGAAATACGAACACCCACCCCAAAAGCAGCTCGAAAGCTGAGGAACCGGGCGATTCGCTGGTACCGCCAAGATTTGAGAAAGCCCCCCCGCATTTCCAGAAAACCTGCTTCTTCTTTTTTTTTTGGGGGGGGGGGGGAAATCGCTCCCTTTAAAAGGAACCTCCCGAATGACGTAAAAATCCTAAGCCAGCCAAACCCTAAACGCCAAGCCAAGCCCAAGGCTAAGCCAACCCCAAGCCCACCCCAAGCACTGAACCATCCCACCCGAAACCCACCCCCAAACCCACCCCACTAATCCAGCCCTAAAGCCTCTAAGCAAACTTCAATCCAACTCTGAACCAACTCTAATCCACCCCACTCATCCAACCCTAGCCAAGCCTCCTTTTTGAAAAACACCCAAATGACATAAACCCTACTAAGTTACTCAGCCAACCAACCAGCCAGCCCTTCCGCTGCCCCCCTGGCGCCTCCGCCTCCTCCACGGTGTAGCCCACGATGCCGCCCTGGGACCGCACCATCTCCAAAACCGCGGCCTACGGAGTCGGAGTCCGGTTTCTCCCGAGCAAAACATGTCCGCCAACTCCCCAGCTAACACAAGTGGCCAAATCATCATGAGCATTCTCTTACGATCATACTGTGGATGGTTGCGAAATCCATTTTGCACCACTCCGGCACCATGGTTGAGACCAGTACTTGTTGGTATGTACGTTGGGGAATCGAATCAGAAACCAGGGTTTCTTAGGTGGTGCGAAATGCATTTCGTCCATCCACAGTAGGTGTCCTTGTTAGGGGAAAGAGATGGCCCTGGTAGATGATTAAACCACCAGGGAAACCAGAAATCGCCATCTACTTTTTCCACCAACACAACCAATAAGGACGCCTATGCCCGAGCCCCACAGCAATTCCCGCCTGCCAAAGCGGGTCCCGTTGTTGGGGGGAAATAGACGGGGATGTTTGCACCGAAAGAGGAATCCACCGGACAAATAAGCTCAGGTGATATCCCCAACAGCATGCAGTGCTCTCTTGAGTGCCTGGTGGAACCCTGGTGGAACCCTGGTGGAACCCTGGTGGAACCCTGGTGGAACCCTCGTGGAACCTTACCTCAGAGCCGCCCCGGACCACCGGAGCCTATCTGGGCTGAGACCCCAAAGCTTTCAGCTGTTGGGGAAAACACCTATGGGCTGTCCGTTTACTGATCCCCTGCTAAAAGTGACGAACGTTTAGTGGGTGATTTACAAAAACCCAACCACCAAACCACCTGAAAAGAGCTCAAAAACTGAGCAACCGGATGGTTGAACCGCCAAGTTTTTAATGGTCCAGGGTTGGTTTAGGGCTGCTTTAGGCTTGGTTGAGGGTGGTTTGCGGTCTGTTTCGGGTTGGTTTAAGGTTGGCTTGGGGCTGGTTTAGGGTTGGTGTAGGGCGTTTCCGCCGGCCTTGAACTGCGGGAAGTAGCTCCCGGTCGCATCCTCGGATCGGCTCAGGCGATTTTGGGGCGCAGAATGGGACGCAGTCACCTAACATGCCCTGGTTTCCGTTTGGCTTCCCGTTGAATATCAAAAGAATGTCCAGCAAATTGAGAAAGAAACAACCACTGATGACCAGGCATGTTGTTGCTGTGGAGAAGGGATCCCCATCCCCATGACTACATATATATATATATATTGTCAGTTTGAAGTGGCCAAGGGGTGAACCTCTTTCCAAGAATCACGGGAGGGATTTGGAAGGCAACCCTCACCCAGCTGACTTGGGGTTCCTTCGGCGGTTTTCGGCGGTTTTCGGCGGTTTTCGGCCGGCTCTGGAGGTGAGGTGGGGTGGCTGTCGGGGTACCTAGTCTTATTTCTTTTCCCGGGGAACACCTCAGCACCAGGAACTAGCAGCTGCTTAGAAGGGCTTCTTGGGGTGCGAGAACGTTTTTCTTTTTGTTTCTGGGGGTAAGAGCGCTTCTGTCTTTCCGGGGTTCGGCGCACAAGTACCACTGGATGTCAAAATCCAAACTGTTGTTTACGTTCCTGGATATCCCCATAAGACAGGCATCCTCAATTTTCAATTTGTGGTTTCGATTGGTGGCTTGTGAAACTTGAACCCTAAATTACTTTGGGGATGTCACTCCCCCAGTCTCAAAACCACCAATCCAAGCGACCAATTGAGGGAAACACCTGACATTCTGCAGCCAAACTCGCTTTGAACACTCCGAATCGGGGATGGTGCTTTCTTCTTCTTCTTTTTCCGGGGCCTTCCATTTTGGCTGTGGGTCAAAAATATGTACCCAAAATGGAACCCTGGTGAATGGAAACTTGGACCCACACCCACACCCATTTGGCCATGGGTCAAAATCCAAATCGTACCCCCAGTGAACATCCAAATCTCCACTAAAATAGACTAAAATGGTGAATTCACCTACCAACCAAAATGGGATCCCAAAACGGTTTTGACAACCACACCCATTTCGCATTCCATCGAAGCCGCGAGCAACATGTTGCCTCCGCAGTCCAAGCGGCCGCCACCAGGACGCACTCGTAGCCGCGGTCGTTGGCTTCCCTCATGGTGGTGTTGACGCAGACCTACGGAACAGCTTCGGATCAAACTAAGTTGGCCAAAACAGGCCAAAAAAGAGATCAACAAAAAGGCAAGGGAGGTTTTGGTGTTGAATCTCCCAATACAAAAGGTCCCCAATTGTTTTAACTTCTATGTGTATATATATATATACAAATACCCACTCCCCAACATGTGCCTGGAGTATTTTCTAATTCCATGTTGAAGGGTCTGCATGGATGCCGAAAGATCCCCTCTCGGTTTCCTTTTGGACTAACAAGGTGGGGTATCTAACGCCCAGCTGCAAGTTCTATTCCCCAAAAGCAAAGGGCCAACATGGATTGTTTCTCCGCTCGTTTTCCCCCGTTCCCTGAGCTCGCCGGATCTTTTTTCCAGAAGTAGCACCCCGGATGTGTTGTCCGGACTTTGCTGTTCAAAAGCCCCGGGGCTAAAGAGCTGCCTTTGCTGAATTGGGAATCCACTGGGTAGGGGGCGCAAGATGGAGGCACTGCAGAACGGGTGGGTCATGGTGGGCCCTGATAAACCTTTATAGTGGTCGTCTTCCCATAGGATTGATGACCTTCCAATCAACCCAAGTAAAGATGCCTTTTGACATTTTGTGGTTCTGAGGCTAGCATGAGCAAGGCCAACACTAGGGACCATTAAGGGAGAAACGGACTATACACTGCCAGTGACTTCGTCTGTTGCTTGGCATGACCAGGGGAAAAAAAAAAAAAACGAGGACTTTGGGGAAAATTGTGCTCTGCAAACCCACCCCCATGTGAGTCAAAATCAAAACCCAGTATTAAGATGGTCTGCCCAGAACCATGTAGAGAATTAAGAAGGCGGCCGCAGCTATTTCTGGCTGGGACCGCCCCTTACTAACCTTCGTCTACCCGAGTTTCTATTGTGGCTCATGTAGAGATTCAGCGCGGGCTGATTTTTGTCTACGCTCGGCGCGCCTCAGTGGTCACTCCGCAGAAGATCAAATGGCTGATGCCCTTCTCCCGGAGGATCTCGTGCAGACCCGTCATGAAGAAGCCCCCTTTGCCTGCCGACCCAGGGATTGATTTTGAATCCCCAGAGGCTAGGGCCCTCAAACATCCAGGTTTTCAGACCCCCAAACACCTCGGGTCTTCTATTTGAAAGCCCCAGGAGCCTCCTTTCCATCAACTAGGGGAGGAAAGCTCATCAAATGATTCAGAGGCGGCTCAACTGGAAGCTCCTGGCCCGCCAGATTGTCTCTAAGCATCCCCCTCATCCAAGCAGCCGGCTACAGGCAAGAACCGAAGGAGACTGGCCAAGTGGCAAAAAGAAACGGTATGTTGCGAGTATTTAGCTCGCTTCCTGGCTTCCAGCGATCTGCGGCTGCGATGGCTCAACTTCGACCTCGACTTTGACAGCCGCGCCTGGCTTTGCGACCACGATCTCCCCGTCCTTGGCCAAGGCGTGCTTGATGAAAAGAGAAAGAGAGCTTCGCGACTTCCATTTGCTTAAGCCGGAAACATATTACATATGTCCAGTAGTGATGAATTCCCTGGGAAACCAACAAGAAAAAATAAGCAAAAATATACTTTACTTAAGCAAATGGGAGACGAGCTGGTCTGGCCACAACTTCCTGCAACCTGACTCTCCCATGTCGATGAACGGGTTGTTAAGCTCCGGGCAAACTGTCAATCCGCAGGAGTGCAAATACTGCAACTACAGTCCCTTCCGAAAACAAATATGGCATCTGACCCTGGAATGCGACTTTCCTCTGACAGAAACCCTCTTTCATGTTTCAGGTTTACTCTTAGGGAGAAATTGTAAGTGGGTGTCCCTTCCTCAACGTGGTGGGTTCCGCTTGGTGGCTTCGGCTAAAGGACAGGACTTGGATCCATTTGAGGTGTCGGACCAACCCGAAACATCATTCCCCTCCGAATCAATCTGAAAACCGAAAAGGGGATTTGAATGGGAGCAAAGTAGTCCTAAAGAGGGCAGCCTGTCCCTTTTGAGGCCTGCACCATTTCACCTGTTGCCGACCTGCTGGTTTATCCTCCTTGGTAAATAGGACAATGGCAATCCCTCTCCCCAAAAAAAAACAAAAACTCTACAACCTTAAAACCACACGCCCAACAAAACACGTACATTGACAGTGGTGCCTCGCTATGTCGCCTTTGCAAGCGCCGTCCCAGAGTCAGGGTGTTGGGGATGAACCACTTAGGGTTTTAGGGTTTAGGGTTTATGGTTTAGAGGGTTTAGGGTTTAGGGTTTAGGGTCTGGGAACCCCAGATGAAGGAAACCACCAGTTGGAAAACGCTTTTTTCTAGGTTGGTCATGAGCCGTTTCTCATTCCCTGCTGAGAACCAGCAAGCCAGGTGTTGAAGCCTCAGCTTTGCCCGCGGCACCACATCCTCTGAAGACTGGGAGCTGGCCCGAGAAACAAAAATGGGACAGAAACACGAGAAACAAAACAAAGAAGAAAAAAAAGAAGAAACAAACACATGGGACAGAAACCAACATGCCGCAGCTTGCAACCCAAACCAACCAAAAAGTTCATGGGCCAGGCCGGAGGCCCGGGTTACCCTTGTGCGCCCTGAAGTGCCACCTGCCGGGTTCGGGGGCTATATACTTCCCCTTTCAACATCGCCAAAAGGGGGGGCTCCCTCAAGATTGATCCCACATGCTCCAAAAACAAATCAGAATCAAAGAAAACGCGTCTTTGTGCTTCCATCTTTCGTTGAACAAAAAGGGGCCAAAGGCGAAACATGTTGGAAGCACCCAACAGCCCACGTGGGGCTTCGAAACAGCCAAACCCCGCTGAGCTGCCAACCCGCACACGCCCCAAAGCAAGGAGCCCAAGCTGAGTCGAGGAGCAATTGGCTTGGCCTCCTCCATGAACTCATTGCCCTTGGACCCGTCCACCAGCAGTCGGCCCATGCCCTCCACCAGCACCTCATGGTGAGCTCTTCTTGCGATCGCTGCGAGAGAGATGCCGGGGGAAAAAGGAAATGGCGCATGGCCGACCTAGAAAAACCATCCAACTGTGTGGTTTCTTTTATTCGGGAGTCCCAAAACGGTTCTTTCAACCACGTTCTCTACCAGCAAGTTGTTGGTTTTTTTGTTTGGGGGGGAAGTGGGACCTGGCCCGTTTGCTTGTCAGGTTTGGCAGTTTACAGAAACCAGAGAGAAACCCAAGCCTCTCCTTTTCTTGTGGGGTTGTCCTCAACCAAAATCTTTGGGGTGTGGCTCGTCACAAAATCGGGGACCACAAGAAATACACTTGGCTCCTCTGTTTTGGCAAAATCCCAAAGGGTGTCCGACTTTTTGGTACTAGCAAAAAAGGAAGCTTTGCCCAGCCCACCCCCCCCCCCCACCCCACCCCACCCCACCCAAAAAAAAGAGTTCCGTTTGGTGTCCCCTTTTTGCCACAGTAAACAGGGAACCAACTCCGAAAACACACACACACACAAACAAACCTATGGTTGTGGAAGTTCGGTCTCTCTCTCTCTCTCTCTCTCTCTCACTCTCACTCTCTCTCTCTCTCTCTCACTGGGGCTTCCAACATGATTTGGTGTTTCAAGTAAGGTTTCATGTGGGAAGTTCTCCCTGAGACGTGTCTTCGATGGCTTCCCACAACTTCACTGAAAACGAGATTCGAAGCCTTGGCCACTCACAGAAAATACGCCTGCAACCTTTGGACGAAATCCGATGCCGCCGATCGGCACCACTTGAAATCGGCGGCTCGTCCCACGCATGGGGGGCATCTTCTACAGATGCGAAGTGGATTTCTGCCATCCAGCTTATAGCCATGGATATAAGAGGACAGGGTTAAACATCATCCAAGTGGCGCCAAAAAAAAAGAAGAGTTTTCCCGCACACCGGGTTCCCCAGTTATACAGGGATCCTTACATTATACACCTGAACATTGCAACTTGTAAATGGTGGTGTCCCTTTCTTTTGGTGTTGAAACAGCCACATGTTTCAAATGGTGGCAACATGGGTCGATCCTTTAAGGAGCCCTGGAACATATGGTTCCTTCAGTCCCGTTTTTCTTTCTTCTTCGGCATCTTGATTACGCCCCTCACCTCGCTGAGCCCAGTTCTCGCCTTGTAAATGGTGGTTTCCCTTTGTTTTGGTGGAAAAAGCCATGTTTCAAATGGTTGCAAAATGGAGATCTTTTAAGGAGCCCTGCAACATATGGTTCCTTCAGTCCCGTTTTTTTCTTCTTCGGCACCTCGCTGAGCCCAGTTAGAACCACACCGCTCGCATCTGCCAGCGCTCGCTCTTGCGCCCCGCCTCGCCGATGCGCTTCCCCTCTGGAGGGCACCTGGGTCCGTCCAACTTCATCGCCTGAGTGCCGTAGGTCGAGCCGAAGGCAGGGGGCTGGGCGGAGAAAATGGGGCGGGGGGGCGGGGGGGGGGGGGGGGACTTGCTGTCCCCATTTAAAGGGGGCCATTTCAAGGGGCGAAAGGGGGGGAGGGAGGGGTTGCTAGGAGCAGCTCTTGGCGGTTTTGGGAGGCTTTGGCAGGTTTTGAGAGGTTGCTTTGGCTTTGGTTCTGGAATTTGGCCCATCAAAAAGGCGCTGGCGCTCGACCGAAAAAACACACACACACCCTCTCGCAGGGATCGAATTCCTGCGAGCCCAAAGAGATGCTGGGCCTTGCGTGAGCCCAGGGTGATTTGCACCACGCCAGGCGGTTCGGAAAAGCAGAAAGTTTCGTGCTGCTCACGGTCTTCAAACGACCAAAAAAAAAAAGAGAGAACTCTCCTCGAAGAGAAAATTCCATGGATGGGGTGTATCTGGCGCTGCGCCAGCTTGTGTTGCGCCAACCTGGCCGAACAAAGCCCAGAAGAGTAGAGCCCTCTCTTGCGGTCCAGGTACCACAGCCATCCACTGGGAATCTGCTGGGAGTTGCCATGCCCGAGAATCAAAGAGCCCGAAGTCAAGGCTCGCCAAATAGGAGCTTCGCGCCTTTCGTCCTTTTTGTGTTTGAGAAGTTGTCCGTACTGCGGGGCAAGGCTGATTCATCTCGAAAACCGGGCAGCCTTCAGAACTTGTGCTTTTTGGTTTTGGCTGATTCATCTCAAAAACAAGGGAACCCTTCAGTTGTTTTTTGGTTTTTGGTCCTTTTTTTTCGTTTTGCTTCTCTTCGCCCATCCTTCTTTTGGGAGAACCGAACCCTCAAGGCGAGTACCTCAGGTCCCGGCGCAGCAGTCCCGCAGGTCCTCCCGGTGTGCCTGGCTCACGAGTGAGAACCCCTCACAATACAATGGATATGTGCCTTTGCAAATAGGGGGATACCAATCTGAGAGTAGAACACTCATTCTGTGTATGTATATCAATTTATCTATATATTATATACATACATATATATATATATACAGTTATATACATATATGTCCTGAAGGCTGGTATCATGGAGAGAGGAAAATGGATGGACAGGAGTCGACTTCTCTTGGCTTCTCTGACATGGACTTGCTTGGGAAGCGAGAAGCAGCAAATGCAGCCATCATCTATCTCTTCTACCTCCATGGTCTCGCGGAAGAATCCAAATGAGGAAGATATGGCCATGGATCAAAAGCCCGTACCCCCAGTGAACATCCCAATCCCCACTCAAATGGACTAAAATGGGTGGTGCACCTACCCCAAAATGGTACCACTGGTTTTGACCCACAGCCATATAGTGATAGAAAGGGAATAGACATGAGCCAACATGTGAGTCGCAAAGCATTCTCAATCTCGTTTTCACGAAAAATCAAGCATTGCAACACAGATCCTGAATAGATCATGTAATGTAAACGCGATTTCTAAGCCTATCTGCTGGAGGCCTGTAATATCACCAGCTTGACAAAAAAGTCCCCAGAGCCCAATGGGAAACCATCCGAAGTTCAGCGTCTGCGGGGAGAAAGCCTGGCTACACCCAAAACACACACACCGTTTTGCTGGGCTGTAACCTTCAGTGGGTCAAATGGAACCCCCACTAAGCCCTAAAACCCTAAAAACCAAAAAGCAAAAAACAAAAAGCCTGAGTGGACCGGACTAAGCCCCAAAACCCCAAAAAACTAAAAAACCGGATGAGTAGACCTGGAACCGCCGAGTTTTTGTCGCCGCAGAACTCCACCCATTTCCGGTCGAACGCCGCCTCCTTGGTGTGCACCACGGTGATCTTGGCACTTCTCGCCGCCGCCAGCAGAGTGGCGGCACCGGGCAGGCACTCCTGTCGAATCGACCGGTCGCTGGAGATTCAAATGGCTGGTGGCGAAAAAACCCGGTACCCAAATGGGTTGCCCGGGTAAGTGGAAACATGGACCAAAACGTGCGGGGACCCCTCCTGTTTGATTTTGTCGGCCATACCCAACCGGGTGTGTGTCAAGCTGGCTCAACTTTTCTGGGGCTGGCTTGAGTAGCTTTGGTAGCACCCTCCTGTATCCTTTCTGTTCCCTGCAAATTTGGGCCTCAGATTATACTGGATGTTGGAACCTCCTTGGAGTATCCTTTGTAAACGGTAAGACATGTTACACCGTTTGCACCCGCCTTTTGGCTTCCCTTTGAAATTGCAAACGTCTTACGACCTCGTTGTGGTTCGTGAAGAACCTCGTATTTCGTATCGGTAAACCTGACCCCATGCAAATGCTTTGGTGGAAACAGCCGACCGCGTGTGTTGCAAAAAAACTCCTTCTGAGGTACTATTCAAAAGAATGGCCTCGTTGGTGTTTGCTTAATCCAGGGGCGGCCTTAAAAAGCCCCCCTGCAAAGCGCTCGTGTTCACATTTGCGGGTCCCAAAAAAATGCTCAGTGTTCCGAAAACTTTCTGAGAGGCAATGCATGGAAAGCTGGTGGTCCTGCCCTTTTCGGGTGACCCCTGACAATGCTCGACCCAGGGCTCCCTTGGAACATCCCAGACCAACGCTTTAAGCGGGAAATGGATGTTTCTCAAAATGTGCGGACCCTCATATACCCTCAATATTGTTCATCAGACATTCCGGGTGAAAGTTTGGTGTGTGCACAAAATGTGTGCCTTTCATGCTGGTTTTCGCTTGACCCAACCTGATTAGTGTACCAACAAACAGCCACAACCTTTTGCTTAAGTCCCCTGGACCAAAATATGTCCAGTAGTGATAGGTGCTTTTTAAAACCAACCGGGGGAAGCAAGAAAACATTCATTTCAGCAAATGAAAGACAACAATTTCCGGAAACTTTCACCCCGAAATCCCCAAATCCCCTCTCCCTGAGGGGGAACGTAAAAATAATAACTTCAAACAAAGAGAAGCAACTGGAATGTACCGTGGGAATGGGCGGAGTCCAACCCTCGACAAGCAAGTAAACCAAACAAACAAACGAACAAACAGACAAACGACCAACCACCAACCCGCCAGCCCACCAACCCACCAACCCACCAACCCTCCAACCCTCCAACCTTCCAACCCACCAACCCACCAACCCACCCAACCACCAACCCACCAACCCACCAACCCACCAACCCAACCCACCAACCCAACCCACCAACCCAACCCACCAACCCAACCCACCAACCCACCAACCCACCAACCCACCAACCCACCAACCCACCAACCCACCAACCCACCAACCCACCAACCCACCAACCCACCAACCCACCCAACCACCAACCCACCCAACCACCAACCCACCAACCACCAACCCACCAACCCTCCAACCCTCCAACCCACCAACCCACCCAACCACAAACCCACCAACCCACCAACCCACCAACCCACAAACCCACCAACCCACCAACCCACCAACCCACCAACCCACCAACCCACCAACCCACCAACCCAACCACCAACCCACCAACCCACCAACCCACCAACCCACCAACCCACCAACCCACCAACCCACCAACCCACCAACCCACCCAACCACCAACCCACCAACCCACCAACCCACCAACCCACCAACCCACCAACCCACCAACCCACCCAACCACCAACCCACCAACCCACAACCCACCAACCCACCAACCCACCCAACCACCAACCCACCCAACCGCCAACCCACCCAACCACCAACCCACCAACCCACAAACCCACCAACCCACCAACTCACCAACCCGCGCAACCAACCAACCAACCAACCAACCAACCAAACAAACAAACAAACAAACAAACAAACAGACAAACAAACAAACAAACAAACAAACAAACAGACAGACAGACAGACAAACAAACAAACAAAACAACCAAAACAACCAACCAAACAAACAAACAAACAAACGAACAAACAAACAAACAAACAAACAAACAAACAAACAAACAAACAAACAAACAAACAAACAAACAAACAAACAAACAAACAAACAAACAAACAAACAAACAAACAAACCAAACAACCAAACAACCAAACAACCAACCAACCAACCAACCAACCAAACAAACAAACAAACAAACAAACAAACAAAGTAATCAAAAAGAGATCCTTCTGCCCTCCGCCTCTGAGAGCCGAATCGGTGGTTTGGAGCCGAATCGGTGGTTTGGTGGTGTTTACCCTCTCATCATAAAGAAATCCGAGTGCCGTCTCCGCCTCTGAGAGCTTGGTCACATCATTGCCCAGCGCGTGCCCGAAGCCCCCGACCTCCATGAAGTCCTTCCTGAGGTGGTGCGTCGTTTCTGGATGCCGACTTGGTCCTGGTTTAAAGGTGTTTTTCCAGGTTGCACCTTCCCTACATAGGTGTCCTTTTAGGGGAGACAGATGGCCCTGGTAGATGATTAAACCACCAGTTTTCTACCAAGACAACCAAAAAGGACACCTCTTGGTTGCTGTTGACCCCTCTGCAAAAAGTGAATATCTTTCTGGAGGTTTAGTCCGGAAAACCCCTTTATTTCTGAAAAAGCTAAAGTTCCAACCCAATAGCAGTCAAGAAGGGAAACCGCCAAGAAATACCAACTGGTCACCCAGTCTTTGTTTCAAACAAATCCTGTGATAGGGTTGGGTTTCCGGAGAAATTCTACAGGCAAACAGCTGACTTAGGGCTTGGGGCCATTTCCTGCAGATGTTCCTGTAACCAAACCTTTGAAACTTGTCCTGGTTTAACAGGGACACCGACCAGAAATTCTCGAGGATACCTCACTTGCAACCCTGCTTTCGTGTTGAACCACACGCCCGGTTCTGCAAAAGAGAGAAAGGTGGGGCAAAATATGACCACTAGATGAACCAAAAGAAGGTTTTGTTCAATTGTGTCTCATTTGAACAGGGATTGGCCCAATTTTTAATTTTGGTCCAACTGCAACTGACCACTTCGATGCTTACTGCCAAGCAAGATGAAACCAACAAAAGCCATTCTGAGGTGATTAAACCCCGTTTTTTCTGGGAAACCCCAGAGAGCGGCAGACGGTGGGGAGTTGACCAAACACAACTGCAGACTTTTTGTGGACTCCCGTTTGGTGCCAACCAATAGATACCCGCTGAAGGGTCAACCTATGTTGAAAGGCACCGGGCCTTGAGACCCTTTCTAAACTCTTGCTCTTTGCTGGTTCATCAATATCGTCAAAGGATGGTCCAACGGAAGAGCCGTCACAAGAGTGGTTGTTTGGCAATTTGAACCGAAATCTTGCCGGTTCTATTCTAAGATCCCCAAAAGGATGATGAGCGTCCGGCCTTTGCCCCCGTCTCACGTTTGGCTCATTCCACACCAGGAGAGGGTTTTCAAGAGGGGAGAAAGGGAGAAGAACACAATCTTTAAGGATCCCCTGCTTTGAGGCAACACCTCTGGAAATTGAAGCTTGTGCGCCGCAATCGCCGGAAGGAAAACTAAAAACAAAACAAAAACTCGGCATCGTAGCCTTCGCAGGGGCCAAAAACCAAAACTGCAAGCCCATGGTCCAACTCCCCAGAAATTTGGCAACATCTCACTTCAAACTCCCCAAGCACATCCCCACACCCTGGTCTCTTCTTGGTTTTTGCTTGGTCATTTGGGTGTGGCTCAAAATCAACAAGCCAGGGTTACGCAGATTTTAGTCTTTGGTTCCATTTAGCAAGGGCCCACTTTGGTACATGCTTTTGAGCCACAGCCATTTGTGTCTCTCGGCCGGACGCCAATGAGACGCCGGGCCTTCGGCGTTCGCTCGGCCGGGGGGCTGGAAGTCGATGCAGACCAAAGCGGTGGACTTCAGCGGCAGCGTCACGGGCCTCGGCAGTGGAGCGCAAAGCGAGCGCGGTGGGCGTGCGGCTGGGGCGAAGCGAGGTTGTGTTGCTGAGGTGAGAGAAAAACATGGAGATGCTTGGGCCATTGTCCCCCAAATACCTATTTTTAGAGTGTTTTGTGTGCTTTATGTTTGGGCCAGTTTCCCCCCAGTTACTCTTGTGAGTGTTCTCTGGGTGTGGTTCAAAAAGGGGAAACCAAAAGATCTGATTTGCGGGCCCCCGAGGGGTTATGAGGGTTCCCCATCTTTGGAAGACCATGATTGTTGGAAACAGGCGGTGACCGAAACGACTGATGTTGCTTGTGTTTGCCTTTCTAGGCTTATTACAGCTGGTTGCAAGCCCCGAACATCCTCCCTCTTTCGGCCCAAAAAAGGCTGAAGGAGAATTGGAGAACCCGCCTGAGTCCCAATCAAACAGGCTAAGCCCATGGTGAAGCCTCAGAAATTTGCCCTTGCCGCCTCTTGCGGTTTGGACCTTCCCCTATGAACCTTCATCGCCCCACGGGTTGTACTTGTGGTTCAGAAGTCCTTTCGGAAAAGAAAATTCGGGTCATGCTCGGTCCCTAAAATGCCCCAACCCAATGAAAACCAGCTTCTGAACAGCCCCTAAAGTTGGCAGTTTGCCTTTTGGTCTCCTTTTGAACCATCCCAGCAAGGGTGCCCTTGAAGAGGCACATACACAACACCTGTATCCCTCTGCCTCATCTTGCTGGTGCTCAGCAGGGAATGAGGGAATGACCCTTATGAACCATGTCTTGAGGGGAGGCCCAGGTTCATTCCCTCATTCCGAGCACCAGCAAGTCATTTACCCCTCAACTACCGCTTTGGGAAATTCTCCTTTGAAGGCAAGGACCAACGTTTCCCAAGTGTTCGCTACCTTTTGTCTCCATTTAGGTGCCAAAACTGCTCTGTGGCTTTCTCTTGCACCAACTGTAAAGACCTCAAGCCAACCCCCAAACCCACCCCACACCAACGCCAACAAGGTCCAAATCAACGACATTGTGCTCACCATCGGCAACCCAGTTTTTCTGCAAAGGCAAAGGACTTTTGCTTATTCTCAAGGCCCAAGAAGCCAGTTTTTGGCCTGAGGCTTTCTGCTTACGACCGGTGCCCCGTAGAAGCTTGTTGCTTGGGGAGGCAGTCTGGCATTTCTGACAGGAAACATGTCGTCTTGGCCTTTGTTTCTCCCATCAAGGAACATGATGTCTAGGGCCCTCTTTTGACAACCAGTCATTTCGGCCAACCCTTGGAGTGCTTCGGCAAAAGCCTCGAGCATAAGATGAAGAAACAAATCTTTCTGCTGGCAACCCCCAAACCCGCCAACCCCAAGCCAACCCCCAAGCCAACCCCCAAACCAACCCAACGCCCAAACCACAACCCCCCCCCAACCCAAACCAACTCACCCCAAACCAACCCCCCAAACCAGCTTCCCAAACCACCCCTCAAACCAACACCGCCGCCCCCAAGCCAACCCCCAAACCACAGCACCCCGCCCACCCAAACCACAACCTCTCGCCCCAGTGGCTTCGGCAGCGCTTCCAGCTCGGCTTTGGGGCCCTTGGCCGAGGCCGCCGCCGCAAAATTGGGCTCTGGGTCCTTGGCGAATGGGTGGGTGCAGGTGGGAGGGCAGGTGGGTTGGTGGGTGGGGTGGGCAGGGGGGTGGGCAGGGGGGTGGGTGGGGGGGTGGGTGGAGTGGGCAGGTGCGTGGGTGGGCAGGTGGGAGAACGGCTTCCTTCCAAATACTTGGAGGGGGAGAAACCAAAGGTCGAAAACAGAAACATCTATCCAAATCTTCCGTCTCAGGCGTTGAGAGGATGCAAGCCATGTCGTACGTCCAACATTGTCATGGCTTCCATCCGAATATCATGCAGTTGGTCCTGTTGGGTCAAAGCAGGCAAGGGTCCTTTGACCTTTGCACGGAAAAGCCGAATTTGCGAAACAGAAGATCCTTTTGGGGCCTTAGACCATGAGTGAGTTGGGTGAGGGGTGGGCCATTTCCCTTCTTTGGGGGAGCCAAAGAAAAGTGAAGGTTGCAGTTGGGCGGTACAACTCGAACCCAGTATGATTTACTCATCCCCGTTGCCCCACAGAAAAGACATTGCGCCTACTTTCCCCTCGGTGTGCCGAAACGTCGAGCCAAGGGCGGGGTTTGGTTCCACCCCACCCTCCTTGGTTCCACCCTCCATCGGAGGGGTTTCAAGAATCTCAGAAGGCGGGGTTGCTTTTTTTTTGATCTTCATTTAGTTGCTTACTTGCTTGTTATATTTATTCTACTTACTTGATTTATTTGATCATTTATGTATATGTTTATGAATCCAGGTATTTGATGATGAATGTCTTTATTTAGATTCTAGATGCTTGGTTGGGTGGCTTTGGTTGATTGAGACAGTTGGTTGGTCCGACTTTGTTGGAGTTGGATGTATGAGGCATTCTCGGGCACTTGTGTATGTGCGCGCCCCTAGTTGCCCTGTGGACCGCACACCACAGGGAAGCTGTTTTGAATAAGTCCAAATGGGTATGAATCTTAACTAGGGACCCTTTGGTGGAAATCATTTAGGTGGGGATTCGTGTCCACCAACCACTTTTGACGTGGTTCCCTATTAAAATTCATGGCCAAATGGTGTGACGCTTGAAGCCAAGCAATGTCAACTCTAAAGCAATCAACCTAGCACATTTACGGGGAACAAAGAAAAGCGAGTATGTGGTTTCAAATCATCACCCTGTGTGCCGCACATTGTGGACTCCGGATTTGTGGTTCGTTTCTCAGTGTCCGGATTTGTTTATGGTTTATTCGGGAAAACATGGGGACGAGCTCAAAGTCTCAACCACTCTCGACCAGGGGGGCAGAACCCTACATTGTCCAAGTCGTCTTCTGGAGACGACGTTGACATTGCAAACATTGACCTTCTCCCATACATGTCCATTGGATTTCCTCTCCCCTAGATTTGCCATGGATTCCCCATGGATTCCCCATGGTCCCCATGGTCCCCATGGTCCCCATATTCCCATGAAAACCCAACTTGGGTTTTCCTCGCGCCGCTTCCCCCCAAACCCGCCACACCGCCGAGCCGAGCCCAGCCCGCGCCTCCTTCGTCTGCTTCGCCGCCGCGCCCGCGGGGCTCGCGGCCGGCCGCTTCTTCGGCGCCATGGCGTCGCGTCGCTCTCCGCGGTTTGCGTCCCACGGCCCGCGGCTCGGGGGAAACGCGGCGGGCGGAAAACGGCCGTGAACGGGGCCCGGCAGGGAAGGTCCGCGAGTCTCGCGCCACGAAATGAAGCCATGGTTGAAACCATAACGTTTGTTGATATTTATATATTCATGGGGGGGGGACTCATTCCAGGTTGGTGCGCGATGTTGTCCATCCACAGTAGCAGCCTCGGCCAGACTGCCACTGCCTGCCGCCTGCCGCCAATCCGCTTAAAGGTCATAAGTCGTGTCTTGACACATCCACTCCAAAGTCGTGACTTGGGATTACCTGAACAACCTCTCCTGACCGATCCCAGTCCACTCGGGGAAAAAGAGGCTTCAGAGATTGCCACGCAAAACATATATGGCTGTGGCTCAAAAAAACCGGTACCCAAAATGGAACCCTGGGAAGTGGAAACATGGACCAAAACCTGCGGTTTGCCCCTCCTGTTTAATTTTGAGCCACACCCATATATGTGGGCCTTCTTCGCCTCTCCCAACTGCAATGGGCAGGGAATGGTCAGGAAAAGATGCGGGAGGCGTTTTTTCCCCGCGACCACTTTGAGGCCTGGCCCCTGCCAGGATGCTCTCGAGCCTTCTTAAAATAAGGGCGTGTGACGTGTTATTTGCTGGGAATTGTAGAAGGGTATTGCGAAGGGCCCAGGTTTAAGCCGGGGGTATGTGAGTTTAAGCCCCTTGGAGTTTCCCCAATCAAGGAGTGCCACGAATATTGTCAGATTCCAGATGTTCAATGCTCACATAAATCTGGGTAACTTACTACAAAATATGAGAACCCTCAAGTAAGGGACCTTGGTTAGATCGCCGGTTTTGACCCCCGAGGAAAAAAACGGCAAGCTCCTTCGCCCAGCGAGGCCCCAACCCCCGCGACTCGGAGCATTTTGGATCTATAGCCAACTCAAGCGCGGCCAGAGGAGTTGCCTCGGAGCATGAACACCCGTACCCTGCGACCCTTGGACCCTGTTACCCTGGTCCTCTATGCAAACCAATTGGAGGGCCCCTGCCTGGAATCCAGCTGTGTGGACTCGCAATTTTAGGAGAATGGATTGCCAAGGTATCACCGGAAGTCGCCTGGAGGCAGCTATATTTCCTACAACCATGGCATCCAGCAAACCGGCGCAAGTCTCTCCCGCATGTCTTGGAACAACTGGACGGCTCCAAGGCAATCCCAACTCACTCCCGATTTCTTGTGGTTTGACCAACCAACAATCGTGCACATCACACCTCATTTTTGTTCACCACGAAAATGGTCCAAACCATCGAAAAGAGTCCTCCGTGTTGGGGGCGGCATCCAAAAGTTCAAAAAAAGTTCGAAAAAGGAGAAGAAGGGGAGAAGAAAAAAAACAAGGAAGCCCCAGACAAGCTTGTTTGGGAGCGAGCCAAACGAAAGCCCAGAGTTTCACGAGGAGTCCCACACTTTTTGTTTTCTTCTTCCAGTGCTGCCCAAAGCGCTCTCGCTGGAGCTGCTCTTGCCTGGGACATCGGCGCCCGGGGCATGCCGAAAACTCGGTAGTTTTCAGAACTCGGCCCAGTTGAGAAGAACGCATGTGGATGTCTTTTCTTACTTAAAGGGCAGGGTGCGTCAGGTTTTTGTGGTTAGTAAGCCTGGTTATAACCTAGTTACGAGACTTGTAACCATGCTAAGTGGGTGATAGCCATGCTTACTAACCACTTACCAAGTACCTTGCCCCTTTAAGTATGGTGTCAAAGGGAAATCAACCGGACACCACCCATTGCGGGAGTTACCCTTTGAGATAAACCCAAATTGTGTCATATAGGAAACACCCCTGGTTGTGTGGGTGTGTGCGTGTCTAAATAGAACCCTGCATACTGGCGGTTGCTCTTTTTAGCTTCCCTTTGAACCAACCCGTCCCAACCTGATGGACACGCAACTTCCCAATCAAGTAGCAGCCAAGTCGACCTGAAAGAAAAAGGAGCTGCGAACTCTGAAATGAAGTCCAGCACCTGACATAAAAAATCGGATTCCCGGCAAAGGACCTTCATCATGGGTAAGCTCTTTTCTACCATCATAAAATGAGTCAAGGGCAAAAATACAACTTGGTATCAAAATTTGACCCAGGAAAGTTCTTGCACTTAGAGGGTTTATCAAAATTACGTTTGGAGGGGTGTTTCCATTTGAGACAACGTTTAGATGGTACTTTCAAGGATGTCACTTTAATCGACCCAGTATCATGGTGCGCATTTGTCTCCCAGCGGCGCTTGCGCTTCTTCTTGGCCTTGCGGTTCTCTTTGCCCTTCGGCTCCTGACAAATTTGCGAGGAAAAACGGCCGTGGCTCAAAAAGATGTCAAAAATAGGTACCCAAAATGGAACCCTGGTAAGAGGAAACATAGACTAAAACCTCCGGTCCAATTCCAGGTGGTTCAATTTTGACCCATACCCATGTACTAAAATCCCCCCTTGGCAATGGAAAGAATGACTAAAACCTGCGAAACCCGAAGTCTTTAATTTTGAGCCGCACCCATATGATTCTTGGGGGACCCGAAATGGACGGCTCACTCGCAAGCTCGACCTGCTCCTTCCACTACAACGTCACCACAACAAAGGAAACCAATACCATCTGGCACAGGAATTAACGATTTCTAACAAAATCGTGGACACCCCACAAGTTATTTGAGGAACCCCGAAAATGCAAAGCTAAGAGAGCCAAACAAAGCACCGCCAAACAAAACCAACCTTCCGGTCTCGCGAGCGGCCCGCTCCTTCCGCGCATCCCGGCTGCGGCTGCGGCTGCGGTCCCTGGCAAGGGCATCGAGCTGCCGATCGGGCGGATTGGCAAAAAAGAAGTCAATACTCTTTAGCAGCAAGCTCGTCCAACCCCAAAAAGTGAGAAGAAGGCCCACAAAAGTTGGGAGAGCTTGGAATTCCCAAAGTGGAAGAGGGAACCTCTCGGGAGGGATCTTCCTTTACCCCCCCCCTCAACTGTTCTTTGATGCTCTATTTCCTGAAAACAAACCATTTGAGGGCCTTCCACTTCGGGGACAAAATCCAAGAAGCTCGGTCAACCCTGGAAAAAATAACAATCAAGAGCGCCTTCCGATTGTGGAGGCGTGTTGTGGGCACAGTGTTTCTGCACAGTCGCTCTGCGCAAACTCACTCCGCAGTCTCTGTGCAAACTTATAGATCGAAATCCGCGTGGTTTCAGCCAAGCTTATCTTTTCCAACCCTTGGTATTTGTTTGCTTTGGAGAGCCCAAAGTGCTGCACTGCCCCTAAAAAACCTAAAACACCAATCATTTGTAGGTCTCAGGCTCTTTGCCATGCAACGTGTAAGGACAATTCTATTGGAAAAGGAATTCCCGTGTACCATTTACGTTGAACTAGATTAATCATAATTTAAAATCTAATTTAACATATACAATTTTGATTGGTCTTTCCTTAATACTGTCTGGCTAGTTTAAGTTCAGTCAGAATTTGGGTAGAATTTGGTAAAGATATTAAGTAGATTTCAGAAGGAGAGAATTCAGAGGTCAGAAATTGATTTTTGTTTGTGTTGACTAGCCCCAGAACTACCATGGTCAGAAAACACTGTAAAACACAGTGTTTTGTAGCGTTTGTCGTACTCAATTCACATCTCCACCAACGGCCGCTCTCTAAAATTCAGATTGAATTTGAATAGGATTTCAATAGGACTCAATAAGGAAATACTTGATCAGAATCCTACTGGAAGTTACATGGTACATTTAGAGTTTAGATGTAAATCCTATCCCAATACAACATTACAATGTTTAATTAGAGGTTAAACATAATTTTATAAGGAATGAATCCAATCACAACTTCTGTTTCATAATAAAATTTGAATTAGAATAATTCTAGTTTAATTGATAGTTTACACAGTATGTTCTTTCCAATCAATTTTCTTTACAGATCAGCTGACATTTAAACAAACCTTATGCAAACATAGTTCAACTCAAGTTTCCACTCAAAAAGTGGGAAAAAAAGCGCACGCTCACAGCGTCCTGCTCTCAAAAGGAATTATATATATATATTCACACCCAGAAAGGATTTTGGACACCAAAATATACTCAAAACAGCCCAAAGGTGGATCTTGGGGGGGAGCATACACATATATATATATGTATTAAAGAAAAAGGAGAAGAAAAAAACCGTGCGACACTTCTCGTCGCGCCTTGGTGGGGACGGCTCCGGCGACGGCTCCCGCTGCCGCGGCCGCCGCTCCTCGCGCCGCTCCTCGCGCCGCCGCGGCGGCTCGCGGTCCGGGGACCGGGACGGCAGGGCCACGCCCCGCTCCCACTTGCCTTGGCAGGAGGGGAAGACCTGGGAGGGATCCCGGTTTTTGCAAGAGGCACCGGTTTTTCTGGCAGGATCCTCGCAAAAGGATTGGCGCAAGAGCAGAAAGTAACCTGAACATATGCAATCCCTGGGAGGGATATCTTCCGGCAGCTTGGGGTACCTTATGAGGGGTATCTTATGAGGGGTACCTTCTCATCAAAATAACATGGAAAACATGGGGGGGATCTTCCGCCGGAAGATCTTGGGGTTGAAGGGAAACCATGCTGGTGCGATAGGTAGGGAATGAGAAATGGACTGACCGCTGGCCATCTTGTTTTTCTGGGGCCGGTCCCTGTCAGGTGTCATGTCAATTGGTGATAGGGTGCTTCCCTGTAGATGGACCGGCAACCCACAAGGGTCCATTTCCCAGCGTACTCTCCAGATGGCGGGTGTTTGGGTGCCATGTTAAACTGCAGAGTAAGTGGGCCATCCCCTGCGGCTACTTTGTCATTTTGCTGGGGATGTCCTTACAAAAAATTGACCCCTATATGACCCAATTCATTCAAAACCATGTGCCTTGGTCAAGCGTGAGGTGACCATTCTGGATGTTCAACGCCCTTTGACATGTTGGCTCAGTCAAGTCAATATTCGAGCAGTCAATGTGGACAAGTTGATGTTCAGAAACACTGGTCAAAGCTTTTCACAGGTTCCAGCAAATAGTGAGGGGGATCTGTCATTGCAGAACCTTCGGGGGGGTTCTCATTCCAGCTGCGATTCTGGATGGTACCTTCCCTCAAATGGGCCAGACCTAAGGGAAGAAGGAATCTTCGGGAGAGAGAAACAATGGGTGAAGAATCGGGAATCGAGCCGTTGAATGATGTTCAAAAAAATCCGCCAGACGGGATGTTTCCCACTCCCACTAAGCAAGAACAAAGGCTCTCTCTGAACTCTGCCGGGCCGCCATCCAGCATATCTCGCAGGAACTGACGGGAGTCGTCGCCACGGTCGTGGTCTCTCTCGCCCTTGTCCTTGCCCTTGCCCTTGCCCTCGCCCTTTTCCCCCTTCCCTGACAGGCAAGGACAGTGACAGGCGCCACAGGCGCATATTGAGCTGAGAATTCAGACATGCGACATGGGTGTGGGTGTGAAATGGGCTTTTTCGCAGGTGGGAAGCCCCACATACGGGTTTCCACCCGTTTTATACCCCGGATCTGAGAGGTTTGGAGAAGCGCAAGCCTCCAGGAAACACCGGGTTTAAACGGGCCAAAGGAAGCAAAGGAAAGAAGGGAACCACTGGGAGTGGAGTTTTGGGAGCCCTCAAGACACCCATGCGCGACGGGCACTCCTCCCGCCGCCCGCCTCCCTTTGGGCGATCCGTGGCGGGCGCCACCTTTAGGCGCCGCCCCTGGCGCCGAGGTTGGAACTTTAGCAGCTTTCTCTGCTGAAGAGATCCCCCAGCAAAAAGTGTTCAACTGTTTGCTGGCTAAAAGGAAATATGAGGGGAATCAAAAAGTTACAGTCTAAAGATGGATCCCATGGGGGTTGATCCATCCTTCGGCCCCAAAATGACCATGGGTCACCTTTCCCATTTGGTGAAAGTCATCTCTTTCGGCGGTGCCCATGCAAGGACCTTTTGATTAACCCCCGTGTGTCGAAGGGGAACCCAACAATTGGCTTCGATTTTCCATCTGGTCTCCCTTTACAAGGTCAAACGGGTACCCTCCAAAACAAACGACACACCCATTTATGAGCGTTGGCTCTTATTCCGCTTCAGCTTGATTGGACATTATTCAAGCTTCCGAGGACCCTTCTACATCCGTGCTGCGGGCCAAGAGGTCCATTCCACGGACTCGGCACGTGTTTTCATCGTTTGCTTCCGCAAACCTTCCGCAGCGCACATGTTACAGAATTTGCTTCCTCGAGTAGTGGTGCAGAAAGAAAAGTCAGTTTAAGTAAGTAAGAAAAGTAATGTTCCGCCTCTGTTGGTGCAGCACGTTACGCAGCAGCGCTGTTTCTGCGTGCTTTTCCACGCACAAAGCGAAACAGTTCATGTCAACCCACAACGCTTCCGCAAACCTTCCGCGAAAGAAATGCCTTCCGCGAAGCCTTCCGCCTGTTTCCGCGTATGCGGCGCGGTGCACATGTTCAAGAATCATGTCCCTCTCCGTACTAAATTAGTACGCACCCAGAAAGAACGCCGCTCATTTGTATTGGTGGTTTGGAGGTACCGTTGTCACCCTACCTCTCATTGTCATTGGTGGCTTGGTTGGGAGTTCCGGGGGCGGTTTCCCATGCCCCGCCCCCACCCGTCCCCACCCGTCCCCACCCGTCCCCACCCGTCCGAAGAGTAAGCGTTGAGCCTACTAAGGTACTTGCAACGAAGTGCGTGTCAAGGTGTTCGTCAAGATGCTTGACAAGGTGGTGGGTATACAAATCGGCTAGCCACCTGAACACATCTCTAATCTGAATGAATTTATGGGCGCTGAGCTATGTGTCTTTTGGTCGCCAAGCTGGGAACTGCCTGAACTGCCACAAGCTAGCTTGTGTCTTGAACAATCAACTGGTATTCATTCAACCGTCCTCGCGCGCTCCCGCCGCGGTCGCCTTGAAGCTCTCCCCGGAGAGGCCGCAGGCGCGGCGCGCCGCCATGGCGGAGTCGAAGACCACGAAGGCGATGCCCTCGACGCAAACGAGATGGACGACGTCGGGCGGGGTGACGAGCCGTGTTTTTGGGCTTGGAAGGTGGTCCCTGTGGCATTCCTGGAAAAACCGGAGAACAAAAAGAAGGTCCCCCCCCCTAAATATGTATATATTCATATATAAATAAGAAGAATAAAACTTGGAGTCGTTGCAAGCTGCTTTATTAGGGTATTGGCTTTTCAGGTGACCAGTGCCATGTGAGTCTGCAATGGCCATAGCAAAAACGGACCGTTCGGGCGGCTTGGGTGGTGTGTTTTTCTTGGCGGGGGTGGTTGAAAGCTGCCTACAACAAAGGGAGAAAAAGTGAAGCTTTTTACGAGGCTTCCCTATCTACCCTTCTTTGGGGCTGTTCGCTTTGGTTCTCCCTCGCTTGCTGTCGCTTCCTTTTGGCTCTGCCTTTCTCGGGCCGCCTTTTTTCCGCTTTCGTCCCCATTTGGGCGAACTCCCAGTTCACAAACTGGGCTGATTTCTCGGTGTCCCCTTTCCTTCTACCGAACATTCAGCCCACTTTCTTTTGGAGCTGTGGAGTCGTTGTCTCCCCCCGCAGCCCCCCCCCACCCTACCCCCCAGACCCCCCCCACCCACCCCCACCCCCCACCCCGCCTTCACGGCCTTGCCGCCGGCCTCCTGCCCTGGAAAGCGCACCTCCTCCACGTGCCCGCAGTCCTGGAACAGCCCCAGGATCTCCGCCTGCCGATCCAACGCCAAGGTACGCCTTGTATCTACCCCTTGGACAATTTTTTGGCCCATGTTCCCATTTATCAGGGCTTGCTTTTATGGGTACCTTTTATCCACCCCTTCAAGGAACGGGGGCGGGTCAAAATTAAACCACCAGGAATTGGACCGCAGGTTTTATGTTTCCATAGGGGTATATACCCCTCATAACTTGGGTTGGAAACCACGGAAGCCAAGGGTTATCAACGAGGGGTATGTACTTCCACCCTTAGCGAGGAAAAAGGCCGACACCTGGGGCGCTGCTTTTTTCCCGGCCAGCTGGCGGCGGTTTCTTTTACAGGTGGGGATGCGCGTCGGGTTTTTAAAGTGCGAGGGCCATGTCCGGTAGATTTTCCTGTAACCAACCCGGTTTGAACTTGGGATTTCTACGGGTTTTTCTCTGGCTTCCTAAGAAAACCCTGCCGCGGATGGCTGTGAGTCATCCATTTTGCACCACCCTTCAGAAACCAGGAATGATTCGATTCCCCAACGTAAATATCGACAAACAATGGTGTCAGCCATGGTTGCAAAGAGGTGAAGGATTTTGTCCATCCACAGTACTTTGCCTACGAGCAACAACATAGGACTTTGACGACACCCTAACCACCTTGTTTTGATTGTCTATCTTACATCTGGGATACTCCCAAAGATATGTTCTCTGACTCTGCTTCATTTTCAGTGAATCCCCTGGATATGGAGTATGGCCATCACCCGCCTTAATCAACCCTAAAGCGACCCTAACCCGCCTTAAACCTGTCTATGGTCCTCAATTCTCCCCCCCCCCCCAGGCGGCAACTCAAGTTCACCAACTGAAAGTAAAGAATCCCCGAGTAAAGATCCTTGCGCGACGGATCCCCATGCGAGCTCGTTATAAAGTAGGAAATTGGACTTCCTGGCAGGCTGCAAGCATCAAGGCAATAGACAGCTGGCATGGGAGGAGTTGCGAATTTTCGAGGACACCCAAAATTCCCTCAAACCCTTAAGCCTTAAGCATCAGGTCTCGCCGATCTCCACCTCGAAGCCGACTCACCACCGACCAAATTCCTCGGGTTTACCCATCCGGCCGGACGGACCGGCCCACAGCCCACCCAACAGGACCTTCGAGTCCCACCCCTCCCCCCCACTCTGCGAGGCCCAAAGGCCCCGAAGCCGCGCCTTCTCGGTGTCGTACTCGAGGTTCCCCACAAAGCCTCGGGTCGGCTTGGGCGCACGAAGCGGCCCAGGGAACTTGGACGCCCAGCGGCAACGGGCGAGACCGGGGGGGTGTAACGCGCTGAAGGCCGACTTAGGCCTGAGACCTTGTGACCGTGTCCTTATAGAACTGGTACTTCCCTTTGCTTACACCCCCGGAGAAAACATAATAATCCAGTAGCGAGAGTTTCCCTTTAAAACCAGGAAAATACAAAAACTATTCTTCAGCAAATGGAAGGCTATCTCCTCCCCACCAAAGCATGGAAACTCCCGGCTCCGCGGCTCCCCAGCTCCCCAGCTCCGTCCGGGCGAGAACTCATTTCCAAACACAAAATGCCAGGGGCCGAAATTTGAGTTGGCCATCCCGGAACCAGCGGAACAAAACTCAATAGGGTGTCCAACTTGGTGAAACGGGCTTCGGACCACTTGTGGACAACCACCCCCAGATCTCTGAAACTGGTTGGTGGATGAAAAAATATGGGATCACCACTTGAGGGGCCAAGACCACCCCATGTGGCCGTGGGTCAACAGACCGTAACCCCAGTGAGCATCCGATTCAATCCCCACTAAAATAGGTCCCAAAATGGGTGGTGAATTCACCAATCCCAACCAAAATGGGAACCCAAAACGGTTTTGATCACCACGGCCATATGGCTGGGGCTCAAAATTCAACAGGAGGGGCAAAATGCAGGTTTTGGTCCATGTTTCCACTTACCAGGGTTCCAATTTGGAATTCCGTTTTTTTTGACCCACGGCCATATTAATAATCTGCTTGGTCCTTCGGAGGTCAAGGGGCAGGTGGCTTCCTCCTTGGCCATGCGCTTGGCCGCCTGCACCGGGTCCGCGGCATCCTGAAGAAAGCGCCGGTTTGCTTTTTTTGTGGGGCTCGGGGGGAGTGTTGGCACGGGAAGGCTTGCACGTGTTCTTTTTGTTTTAAAAAAAAAAGGCTTCTTGGATGAGCAGGCACTTCTTCACGAGCAAGTTGAGAGCTTGCAGCTCTCAAATTGGTGAACGTAACTTGATCACAAGCCAAATGTTATGTGCAAGATTGGATGAGAAGCTTCATCTGAATGCAAATAGTTGAGTTTAGGCCTGTTGGCTCAAAAAAGAAAACACACAACTGCACAAGTGTGTCCGCCGCACTGGCCATGTCATCCATTCTCGGTGTGGGGCGAATGGGGTTCTAAGGGTTGGAGGAATCGACCAAAACGACTGGGAGTTGGTCCTAGCAAGAACCCAGGTGCTAACCCAAGCCACACGGTCGGGAACCCAATGGTCATACACTACAGGTGTGTCTCACACGGGAACCCCCACCTGAAAATCACCAACCATGAGGATCCTCAAAATTTTGACGGACCGATCGCGGAAAAGACCCGAAAAGCTGGTCGAACTGATCTGCGAGGGAGCAACGTCTCCTTGCCAACGAAATATGACATGTTTAGATTGCCGGATACACATCAAGAGGTTCCAGACTACTCCACGGGGCTGGCGCCTTCTCTCTGGGATCTCTCGGCAAACCTTTGGTGCTTGAATTGGTGGAGGTGCTTCGGCTGGAGGTCTGGGATGGATACGGAACCCTCCAAACCAGAACCCAAGTGAGGCCTTGGTGAAGCTCGTGACAGCCCTGGCTATAGAGACCCTGGCCCTCCCGTTTTCCGTAGCGGACCCGCCACTGGCTTTTGCCGAATCCTGGTCGATGGTCTGCACCTCTCTCATCAGCTCGCGCTGCTGGCGCTCTAACTCCTCGCAACGTTCTCTTCGTTTTGATAGGAAAACAAATGTTGAGCCTTAGCGGTTGCTTGGAGTTACTTGTTGTTGTGGCTGTTGTTGTTGCGCTTCGGGTTTTGCATGGATTTGGGCTTGGGGGTTTACTTGGTGTTGGTGTTGCGCTTCGCTTTTTTTTTGCGTGGACTTGGTTTTGATATTGTCAAGGTCGGTCCGCTGTTTGGGTTGCGAAAGAGCTGCTCCACTGCAGAAGGCTGTCCAAGGTTTGCTGAGTGGTGGGGGGTTATCGTCATAGTTCCCGAAGATTGAATCAAGGTTGAACGGAACGAAAGAGAAGCATGTCGGGCTAACCAGTTTTGCGCATGGCCATGAACTTGTCGGCTCAGGGCTGTGTTGCCCCAAAAAATACGGTCAGACCTCCTCTAAAGTGGGACATCCACGCATCACCCAGAGGCTATCATGTGACCCGCCAAGACAGAAGCTCAGATCATTGTGGGATGTGCTCCAAAGCTGTCCTGGGAGCTTCAAGGTTGCCCTAAGAGAGGGTGTGGCAGAAACGGGCTCCTCAATCTGCGAGCGCAGATTCACCGACACCTGCCGATGGGAAGAAAGTCACGGTCCATGATCCACAAAAAGGTTTCTTGAAAGCACTACATCCCCATTGCGACTGGAAGGTCTTGAGTCTTTGCCTTTCACAAGCAGGATGCTTGTTTTGCCAGGGGGAAACCATGGGACATGCTGAGCAAGCCCCTTCTTGGATGTGGAACGCCCTCCCTCCCCACTCAACTCAAAAATCATATTGCCCAGGCTGCCCAAGAAAATGGAGCCGCGTACATGATCGTGGACAATGAGGGAATGACTACTTGCCTCCATTTGCTTAAGTCCCCTGGAACACATAGAAGTATTCCTAGTAGTGATAGATATTTTAAAACCAACAGGGGGAAGCAAACAACAACATATTCTTAAGCAACTGGAGGCTTTGTCACTTTGAAGAGGAATTAGTGGTACTGTATCACAGACATTGGCCCCCAGACCATATTTTCGAATCCACGTTCGCACAGTAATTGTCAGTGGCTCTCTCAAAGATGGCAGGTCAATGGCGACCGAATCGACCGCAAGTGTGTAGAAATAAGGAAAAGGAGCCAAGAATTGAGGTGTCTCGCCTTTCAGGTGGTTGGTTTCCTTCTGGCTCCCCGTTAAAACCCTCCAAATCCGCTTTTGAGACACACCTACTCTTGGGATCGATCATTCAGAGGCCCCTTGTGGAATTCTTGGCCTTTGATTCTTGGAGCAATCCTGCTCGCTTGGAACTTCCAGATTTCCATTGTCCTTGATCGGCTTCTCCCCCCCCTGCTCGCTTGACATGGGCTCTGCCCCAATCGGAACGCGCGGAAAAGGAGCCACCCTGCTCGGCGTTGGCCCCAACCAACACCAAGCACCCCCGCCAAAACCACACCAACCCCCAGCCCCCAACCCCCCCCCTTGGCTCCGCTCCGGTCTCCGCTCCCGCGGCCTGGTAGCTGCGAGTGGAGGCCCCCAGTTTCAGCTTCACCCCCGACTTCAGCGGCTCCATGACCTCCGCAAGCGCCGAGTCCGCAAAACTTGGCCTGCGGCGATGTGTGGCCCTTGGACCCCAGTTGGCCTTGTGGCCCAACAAGGCGTCTTGACCTTCGTTAGCTCACCCTGGGGGAGGCTTGAGGGCCTGCCATTTGCGGACACCCGAATAAAGGTGCCAAACCCAAAAAGCAAAAGACGAAAACCGATGCGAAAGGTGATCCATTCCATTGACGCCATGTTGGCAATCTCGAAACCGCGCAACCAACCGCAGGCTTTTCATGTTGAAAGTGAGTCCAGAAATGGCAATTTCCAGCCTCAGGATCTTCCATGCGTGACTGAGAACTGCAGTCCCTTGGGCTGTGTAAGGCCCCTTGTCCGATGAAACGGAGAAAAAACAAGCGACCCACTCATCTCATTTGATGTTTAATCCCCACCAAAAGGGGTGGGTGCTTCTTTGAACCCCACCAAAAGGGTGGATAAAAATAGGGCTGGACCCCTGCGCTGATTGCGCTTCCCTCGGAGGCGGGCGAAGGCATTGCTGAGTCTCCTGCGGAGCGCCAAAGCGCCAAAGCGAACCGCTGACGTTGGGTCTAGAAAGGGACACTCACCTTTCTTGTGGCCAGGCCAAGACTACGGCGAATATATGGCCATGGGTCAAAAGCCTGTACCCCCAGTGAACATCCGATTCAATCCGCCACTAAAATAGGTTCTAAAATGGGTGGTGCGCCTACCCCAAAATGGTACCATTGGTTTTGACCCACAGCCATATACCAGCCGAAAAAATCGTCCGGCCCGAAGAAGAAGAAAAGAAGAAGAAAAAAAACACGCAAACAGTGAGAGAAGCGGATCCGGATTTGTGTCTTTTCCCGCCAAGTCCGTCCTCCCGTCCAGGTGGGTGCCAAACTTGGAGCCAAGGTCCATAACGGCCACACCGCCCGTGGGCCTCGCCACCTTAACGTGAGGCGAGCGAGAAGGCGCCGTCTTCCGCGCTCTGGGCGCCTCCTTCCGTCCTTCTGGCTATGGGTCAAAACCCAAATCGTACCCCCAGTGAACATCCGATTCAATCCCCCACTAAAACAGGAAGCCTAAAATGGGTGGTACACCTACCAACCAAAATGGGATCCCAAAACGGTTTTGACCCCCAGCCTTCTGGGATAAAACAAGAGACCAGGGGCGCCCAGCGTCTTTGGGGAACCTCCCTTCGCGTGAAAAAAAAGGGAGGGCACCATATTTTAAGCGGTCAACGCGGCATGTGCCGCTCTGTATACAGCAAGTTCCTTCCAGCAAAGCAAGCGCACCTAGCAGTTCTAGCAGTTGGGTGACTCTTGTTGGCCAAACCCGAAGGGAACTCACTCACTTTGGCCTCAGCAATGGGCATGTTGAACTCAGGAAATGGATCCATCAACATTTGATTGGGGGTTCTCCATCGAAATTCACAGCCATTCACAAAAGGTGCGCTCCCCCCTTAACAATGGAAACAACTCGCGCAAGCAATGGGTGGAGCAGGTGATTTCACGGGTGTTCTCCTTTGAGGTATAATTCCCCCCAAAAAGAATGGTCGGTGGACATGAGAAGTGAGACTCCCACCCAGGTGAAGCATCGGTCGGTCACAAAGCCCAAAAAGAGACCAAGCCGAACAGCGAGCGCCATTGAAAAGAAGCATGAAGGCGTAAGCAGCCACCAAGCAACTCAAATGCAAAGAGAAGCAAGTTCACCAACTCATTCATGTGCTTGACCACAGGCATCACTTTGGGGCACGCAACAAGCCGGATGGATCGCCCCCGCAAAGCAGCTGTGCCCTGGTTTCGCCCCAAATTTGAGCCGTTTTTCCCCACAAGAGGGAAGCTGGGGAGAGGCCCTGTTTCTGGTTGCCGTATTCAGCTTCAGTGTTATTCCCTTCTTCGTTCTTATTCTGCGGTTTTCACCAGGGGTCAACAATCACCCCTCCCAAACCACAAACCACCCCCCTCAACCCATTTAATCCCCCCCCCAAGTTGAATTCCCCCCAGTTCCCCCAAACCACCCCCCTCAAATCACAACCAACTTTAATGTCCCCCCCAATCCCCCCCCCCTTCCCCCGGCTCGTTCCCCCGGCTCGCACCTCGCCTCAGCCTTGGAGTGCAGGATCAGCGCGTGCTCCCGGGAGATGGAGGGGTGCAGCGCCGGCACCGCGTTGGACGGCAGCTTCCCCAGCCTGTAGTACTCCTTGCCCCCCAGCTTGTGCACCTGACACCGTCCAACTAAAAACCCTTCTTTCTGTCCAGTGAAACCATCCAACCCTTCTTTCTGTCGTGAAAAGAAAAAGATGTCAGAGGATACGAGCCGGAGCTCGCCCAGGTCCCAAAAACCTGGATTTGCTTACGCTCCCTGGACAAAAATGAGAGAACATGCGTCCAGTTGTGATATATATATATATATATAGATTCCAGCTTTAAAACCAAGAGGGGGAAATAAAACAAAAAACTATTCGTTTCAGAAACTGGAAGAAGCGGGAAAACCTGGGATTTGTTTCAGGGGGCTTGTTGGCAAGCCTTGTTTTCCAAGGCATGTACCTCAGCAACCTGGCTTCCGGGGATTAAAAAAAAAGAAGGGCACAAGGCTCCTTTGTTTGGAGTTACATCCCAAAATGACGGAGGAAGCAAAAAAAAAACGGGTTGCTCTGCCCTTTCCAAATGGACTGGACCACCCCATGCCGTAGGGTATGGCAAGCAACATGAGCTCAAGTGTTTTAAGAGCCCTGGCACTGGCACCTCGAGCGGAAGGACCCCATTGTTGGGAAAAAAGAAAAAGAAAACATATTGATGTCTGGAAATGCCCCATGGTGAAATGTCCCAGGCGCAACATTCATGGGTCCCAATGCACAATGGTACACACAACCGCCAAAAAGTCAGATAGACCTTCCCCAAGATGTACTCCCTTTTATCACCTTTGCATTTGTGATCTGGGTCGTCTAGAAGGAATCTCCATCCCCAAACGGCCAGCAAGTCAGCCGCGCTCCGCGCCTGCTTCTCCCCTGTCCCGTCGTCCTGCGCGGGGTGGCAAAGGGGACCAAAACCGCAAACGACCCGGCTGAAAACCTCACTTCCTGAGTGGATGGCCCAAAAACAGTTCATGTTGTTTGTTTACCACTGAAACGGTCTTCCCACACAGCACAATAGTCCAGGAACTCAGGGGTAAGAAACGGGTTACACTTCCTCCCCAACATGGCCATTGGACCGCAAAGCGAAAGACTTGCATCCTCCATAAGGGCTGTGTGCACTTCCATGTTTGGCGGGCAAAGCCCAAATGGCCATGGTTCAAAACCAATGCTACCATTGTGGGATGGGCGCACCACCCATTTTAGAATCTATTTTAGTGGGGATTGAATCCGATGTTCACTGCGGGTACGATTTGGGTTTTGACCCATGGCCAAATAGAGGTTTGGAGACAGAAGCTACAAAATTGACCAAAATGGGAAACCGAAAGGTCAAAAGGTCGGCTTTCGGCAAGTGAGTGAAGGCAAATGAGGCTCTTCTTTGGGGCTTGGTGTAAGGGTCTAGCAAAAGCGTAGGTGGCGGCGCTGTTGCTCGGGGATCTTGGCTTCTGCATCCCGCAAGCAATCCACGGTCGGATATGAGCCCCTCTTCAATACACGGCGCTCCGTCCCGCCCCACATCCCAAGCCAAACTGTCCATTGGCAAAACCTCCCGCAAGCTCCCACTTCCTGGTCTCAGTTCAAAACTAGAGGTTCCACGAAGGGGGGCCATGCGGCAATCTCCTGGTCGAAACTGCAGGTTCGCACCCTGTGCCCATTTCTCCCAATGGAGCTGACCCATAACCCCCAAGATGACCGATCCTGGAAAGGGGACCCCTGAATGGAAGGACCGAGAACTCCTCTGCCATATTACCTAAACCATACGCAAACCGCATAAAAGGCGAGAGAGTGAGAGAGAGAGAGAGAGAGAGGAGAGAGAGCGAGAGAGAGAGAGAGACCAAGCCGCAAAGAAACAGCTCTCGACTCCAAAAGCCCGTAACCAAAAAAAACAACAACAACCCACCAAGGACACAAGAGCAAAAAAATGCCCAAGCAACTGAGAAAAACCGTGCTTTTTTCCGACGTCAAACAAAAAAAAGGCCAGGCCACTAAGGAACCGTGTTTGTTTCCGACGTCAAAAACACAACAAACAAAAAAGACGCCCCCCGCGGCGTCCCTCTCGCCTTGCCCTCAGTGAGCTCCACGGGGGGCTGGCGCACCGGGTCGCTCTCCAACTCGCAGCACTGGAAGAGCCAGGAGTGGAAGTCCGTGTCGTCCTGGATGGTGCCCCGGACCTCCATGAGCACTCCTCATTGCTCGGCCAGCGGGGCAATGCGTGTGGCGATTTTGGCACTCGTGGTTAAGTGGTGGTTGAATTGTGGTGGCTATTGTTTGGTTTACTCGTGGTTTAGTTGTGGTTGAGTGTTCATGTTGGTTATAGTTGGTTGGTTTACTTGGTGATTGTTTTTGTTACTCGTGGTTTGCTCGTGGTCAACTTGTGGTTGAGTGTCGCGTTGGTTAAGGGTTTGTTTGGTGACTTTTGTTTACTTGTGGTTTACTCGTGGTCAACTTGTGGTTGAGTGTCGTGTTGGTTTAGCGTTTACTTGGTGATTGCTTTTTTACTCGTGATTTACTCGTGGTCAACTTGTGGTTGAGTGTCGTGTTGGCTTAGCCTTTACTTGGCGATTGCTTTTTTACTCGTGGTTTTACTCGTGGTCAACTTGTGGTTGAGTGTTGGTTTAGGGTTTACTTGGTGACTGATTTTGTACTCGTGGTTTACTCGTGGTCAACTTTTGGTTGAGTGTAGCGTTGGTTTATGGTTTGCTTGGTGATTGTTTTGTTTCTCGTGGTTTACTCGTGGTCAACTTGTGGTTGACTGTCGCGTTGGTTTAGGGTTTACTTGGTGATTGCTTTTTTACTCGTGGTTTACTCGTGGTCAACTTTTGGTTGAGTGTCGCGTTGGTTTAGCGTTTACTTGGTGATTGGTTTTTTGCTCGTGGTTTACTCGTGGACAACTTGTGGTTGACTGTCGTGTTGGTTTAGGGTTTGCTTGGTGACTGCTTTTTTTCTCGTGGTTTACTCGTGGTCAACTTGTGGTTGACTGTCGTGTTGGTTTAGGGTTTACTTGGTGACTGTTTTTTTACTCGTGGTTTACTCGTGGTCAACTTGTGGTTGAGTGTCGCGTTGGTTTAGCGTTTACTTGGTGATTGGTTTTTTGCTCGTGGTTTACTCGTGGTCAACTTGTGGTTGACTGTCGTGTTGGTTTAGGGTTTGCTTGGTGACTGTTTTTTTTCTCGTGGTTTACTCGTGGTCAACTTGTGGTTGACTGTCGTGTTGGTTTAGGGTTTGCTTGGTGACTGTTTCTTTTTTTTTCCCGTGGTTTACTCGTGGTCAACTTGTGGTTGAGTGTCTTTCTGGTTTAGGGGTTGCTTGGTGACTGTTTGTTTACTCGTGGTTTACTCGTGGTCAACTTGTGGTTGAGTGTCGTGTTGGTTTAGGGTTTACTTGGTGATTGGTTTTTTACTCGTGGTTTACTCGTGGTCAACTTGTGGTTGAGCGTCGTATTGGTTAAGGGTTTGCTTGGTGACTCTTTTCTTACTCGTGGTTTACTTGTGGTCAACTTGTGGTTGAGTGTCGTGTTGGTTTAGGGTTTACTTCGTGACTGATTTTGTACTCGTGGTGTACTCGTGGTCAACTTGTGGTTGAGCGTCGTGTTGGTTGAGCGTTTACTTGGTGATTGTTTTTGTTACTCGTGGTTTACTCGTGGTCAACTTGTGGTTGAGTGTTGTGTTGGTTCAGGGTTTACTTGGTGATTGCTTTTTTACTCGTGATGTACTCGTGGTCAACTTGTGGTTGAGTGTCGCGTTGGTTTAGGGTTTGCTTGGTGCCTTTTTTTCTCGTGGTTTACTCGTGGTCAACTTGTGGTTGAGCGTCGTGTTGGTTTGGGGATTACTTGGTGATTGTAATTTTTACTCGTGGTTTACTCGTGGACAACTTTTGGTTGAGTGTATCGTTGGTTTATGGTTTGCTTGGTGACTGTTTTTTTACTCGTGGTTTACTCGTGGTCAACTTGTGGTTGAGTGTCGCGTTGGTTTAGGGTTTACTTGGTGATTGCTGTTTTACTCGTGGTTTACTCGTGGTCAACTTGTGGTTGAGTGTCGTGTTGGCTTAGCGTTTACTTGGCGATTGCTTTGTTACTCGTGGTTTACTCGTGGTCAACTTGTGGTTGAGTGTCGCGTTGGTTTAGGGTTTGCTTGGTTACTGTTTTTTTACTCGTGGTTTACTCGTGGTCAACCTGTGGTTGACTGTCGCGTTGGTTTAGGGTTTACTTGGTGGTTGTAATTTGTACTCGTGGTTTACTCGTGGTCAACTTTTGGTTGAGTGTAGCGTTGGTTTATGGTTTGCTTGGTGATTGCTTTTTTACTCGTGGTTTACTCGTGGTCAACTTGTGGTTGAGTGTCGCGTTGGTTTAGGGTTTGCTTGGTGACTGTTTTGTTACTCGTGGTTTACTCGTGGTCAACTTGTGGTTGAGTGTCGTGTTGGTTTAGAGCTTACTTGGTGATTGTAATTGTTACTCGTGGTTACTCGTGGTCAACTTTTGGTTGAGTGTAGCGTTGGTTTATGGTTTGCTTGGTGATTGTTTTGTTTCTCGTGGTTTACTCGTGGTCAACTTGTGGTTGACTGTCGCGTTGGTTTAGGGTTTACTTGGTGATTGCTTTTTTACTCGTGGTTTACTCGTGGTCAACTTTTGGTTGAGTGTCGCGTTGGTTTAGCGTTTACTTGGTGATTGGTTTTTTGCTCGTGGTTTACTCGTGGACAACTTGTGGTTGACTGTCGTGTTGGTTTAGGGTTTGCTTGGTGACTGTTTTTTTCTCGTGGTTTACTCGTGGTCAACTTGTGGTTGACTGTCGTGTTGGTTTAGGGTTTGCTTGGTGACTGTTTTTTTACTCGTGGTTTACTCGTGGTCAACTTGTGGTTGAGTGTCTTTTTGGTTTAGGGTTTGCTTGGTGACTGTTTGTTTACTCGTGGTTTACTCGTGGTCAAGTTGTGGTTGAGTGTTGTGGTGGTTGTTTTTTGTTTAGGTTTGGTTTACTTGGTGATTGCTTGCTTACTCGTGGTGTACTCGTGGCTGCATTGTGGTTGAGTTTTCATTTTGGTTTAGATTTGGCTTGCTTGCCGCTTCATGGTGGTTTACTTGTGGCTTCATTGTGGTTTACTCGTGGCTTTACTTGGGTTGGACTTGGTTTTAGACTTGGTGCAGATTTGGTTTGGAGTCGGTGTCGTGGTTTAGTTGTGGCATGGACTTGTTTTTGGGGCCAGGACCACCTCCAAACAAAAAGCGCACAAGGACGCCGCTGAACGACTTCTGATGAAGCCAGGAGCACTCTTCAGGCGGTGCAGAAATAGAGAATAGAAAGGCCCTTGGTCCTATCCAACCATGACTTATTGTTTCTTTGTTAAAATGTGTGTGTGTATATATATATATATGTGTGTATGGTCCCGGGCTCTGGGTTCCCAGTCACTAAATACACTCTAAACCAACCAGAAACCAACCTTAAACCAAACCTAAACACATATGTCAAACCAACACTAAACACACTCTAAACCAACCCTAAACCATCCTAAACCGCTACAACTAGATCAACCCCAAACCAAGTCTAAACCGCTACAATCCCACCACAAGGGGGGGGGGGAGGGGTGGTCTTAGACCAACCATAAACCAGCCCTAAACCACACCCCAACCACACCACAGGGAGGGGGGACCTGCGAACCCTTGACCATATGACCACATATATATATATATATGTATATATAATCACTCTAAAGAACAACAATGCTCGTCATTTGGAAGCAAAACCATACGCAGCGACGCCCTTCTTTGCACTGACCACAAGAGAAAACCCCACCCAAAAACGTCCGAAGTCAAGGGGTTGATTCCAGACATGTGGCCGTGGCTCCAAAAAGTGGAGCCCCATGTTTGGCCCCCTTGCATGGAAACAAAGACCAAGACCTGCGTAACCCCAGCCCTTAAATTTTGAGCCACGCCCATGTTCCCACAAGGTTGGAACATGGGATTCTCCCTCATTCTTTGCTTTGCCATTCCGACCGGGGCACCTTTCTCACCGTGACTTCCTGTGCTGCCGAGAAGAAGTTCCTCACCACCATCTGACTTGACGTTCTCAGTACATATGTCTCAAGGAGTGCCCCAAAAAAATGGCAACGGCAACGGTTTCCTGGTGGTTTCCCTTTCAGGTACCCTCAAAACGCTAGAAAGGGACCTTCTGGCAGGTGGGGCTTTCTAGAAGACACGCCCACATTCCACATGCCCAACGCCTTTCAACGGGGTGATCTCGCGCAACCAAGGCTCGGCCCAGGTGGTTCTGTCCGCGGCCTTTGGTGGCCCCCCAGAAGGTATCTTCGTCGTTCTCCCACCTCGAGCCGCGCACGTCAAGCCGCCTTTTTCCCAAAGTCAACATGTTGAAGCCGCACAAGGGGTGGCCTGGGGGGTTGTCTTGTTCTTTCCCTCTTTTGTTTGAGGGGGGGAGTCATGTTGAAATGTATGGGGAACCCTCTGGAACAATCAAGCCCTAAACATCGCCCAGAAAGCTCATTCAGAGGGGTGATGTTGGACCAATCAGAAAGACCAAAACACCAGGCTCGCCTGTTTCTTGGCTGCCGCCCAAAACCATGTGGGAATTGCGCGCGCCAACGTTCGCCCAACTGACTGTACACCCAACCCATCCCCGAAGATGGAGCATATGGCCACCGTGAAGCCGCTATGTGGAGAGTTTGCACGTCGATCCCGGTACGTCCCGGTGGCGGTTGGGGAATGAAGCTGCCTCGCTCGCCACTTGGGGTGGTTTTCGGGGCCCGGGTGAAGCAAAGGGCTTCTTGCCACATGGCAAGCACTGCCTCGAAAAGAGTCGAGGCGTTATATCCTAAAGTCATCCGAGGAGCCCTCGGGAATAGCGGTGAAAGAGAAACTGGGAAATCCAATCCAAAGGAAACCCCAAAGAGAAAACGTCCAAGGAACAACAAAAACATGGCACACCTTAGAACATACTTCGACGAACAGTCACCTGCCCATGGGTCAAAATCCAAATCGTACCCCCAGTGAACATCCGATTCAATCCCCACTAAATAGACTAAAATGGGTGGTGCACCTACCCCAAAATGGGATCCCATTGGTTTTGACCCACAGCCACCTAACCTTGATGCTGAGGTCGCGGCACCAGGTCGCGGTCCCCGGTGTCTTTGAGCTTCTTCCGGAAATCCTGTCCCGTTTAGACCACCTTTTGGACGACCAAATGGTGATGTTTGCAGGTTAGAGCAAAGGCGGTGGAGACAGACAAACGGGCAGAGAGAGAGAGAGAGAGAGAGAGAGAGAGAGAGAGAGAGAGAGAGAGAGCGAGGGAGAGAGAGAGAGAGAGACAGAGAGAGAGACAGAGAGAGAGAGAGAGAGACAGAGAGAGAGAGAGAGAGACAGAGAGAGAGAGAGAGCGAGAGAGAGAGAGAGAGACAACATTGTAATAACTGGCCCAAGCCACCCCAGAGTCGCCTATCTGTTCCTATCGCCCCCAAAACGCTGAATCAGTTTTGGGAGAAAAAAGAAAAAGATAAAAACAAGAGCAGAAGAAAGAAAAAAAGAGAAAGAAAGAAAACAGAAAACAGAAAAGAGAAAAGAGGAGAAGAGACGCGCCAACGTCGCGAAAAGAAATCGGTCCTCCGAGCGTTGGAACTTATCGCGCTGGATGCGCTCCATTGCCTCAGACTGTGGATGGATCTCGCGTAATCCTCTCGCAGCACCGAAATGAAACCCTGGAATGAGATGATCTGTAAATACCACAAGGGTATGGGAAACAACTGGGAATGCGTTTCTTTTTTTCATGACGTGTTACAAATGGGAATACCCATGTTTCGTACCCTGGAATCCATGATCCCCAACAAACCTTCTGGTTTCATTCAACCGTGGCTTCGTGCGAAATGGATTCCGCACCCCCTTCTTGGTTGCCCCAAAAAAATAAGTCAGATCTCCTCCAAAATGGGACCTCCACAAGAACCGATCTCACAGGCTGGAAGCTCGACGTCGTCCCTTGCACCGACCCCTCTGCGAAAAGTTTAAGACTCGTGGGCTCAATGAAAAACATCAAAGACCTTGCTCAACCAAAAAGTCAAAGTCCGAAGAACCGCTACCAACTGGCCAAGCCTTGGTTCCCGAACGGCGTCAAGTCCAAAATGAGACCCCGAAAACGGGCGCTGTCCACCGTGATGTCACCAAACAAAAATTCACATCAAGACTAGCCTCATCCAAAGGTGATCATTACAATCCCCAAACGGGCATCCATAGGGAAAGTGGGGCTCTTCGATCAGTTGGGTTATCACCTTATTTGGGGTTTCCCTCCAGAATGACGGGCGCGGGGGGCGCCTTGTAAATTGGCCTTACCTTAAAAAGCCATGTTTCCAACCAACTTGAGGGGAAACGGAATTTAGGGTTCCCCAACAAAGTTCCGCTCTCTCCAAAAAAAACGAAGAAAACACACACACACACACACACACACACACACACACACTAACACGCGCGGCGTCCGGCGCGGAAAGCGGGTGGCTTCGCTGCTCCCCGCCTTGATGCGAATGTCTCGCCAGTCTTTGGCCTCGGCCTCACGATGGCCGGATCGGTCGAACGGTTCGAGGCGCTGAGACCAACCGCCGGGTGCTGTCCGGGGGGGAGGGTCCTATGGTAGGCCTACCCAAAACCATGTAAAGAAGTAGGAAAGAGGCCGATGACACCTTGTGGGTTTCCTGAGGTCACCACTGGCATACCCAAAATGTAAAGAAATAGGAGGGCCGGCGACTCACCTCCTGTTTGGGGTTTCTTAAGGTTTAAGCCTCCTTTGGTTTTGCCATAGCGAAACAACTCAAAATCAAACCGATCGGCATCAAAATGGTCGGACCTAGAACCATGTAAAGAATTGGAAAGGCGGATATCCGCACCCATGTATGGCTGCAGTGGTCCCTTACTCACCTCCACTTACGGGCGTTGCTTGTAACTCACCTTTAAGGAGACCAAAGGTCTGGTTACGAATCGTGTTCACCTAGGCTTATCCAGGGAGAGGCCTTAAACGTCTTTTGTGGAAAGAACACATGTCTTTTCGACTTTGAAGGAAGCCCACCATTTTAGGGGTCCAATTCCTGACACCATATACACCAACATTCTAAACTGGGCTGTTCTCAGATCCCCCGCTAAAAGTGACAAACTTTTAGTGGGTTACATACGGAAACCCAATAAAAAAAAGGAACCCTTTTAGTGGGTTAAATATGGAAACCGACCCCTACCCCAAAAAGCCAAAAAATAAATAGCGGGTTCCGAACCGCACCACCTCAGACGTACGGCCACCCCATCCACACCTCCGGCTCTACCAACTTCATCGCCGCCGCCACCTCCGCATTGCCCGGCGCCTGCCCGTCTGCGCATTGGCTTCGGTTCCAACCCATGGCGCTAGGTGGCCAGGAGGGCAGCTTTCGATCCAGTGCTTGTAAATACCCCTTTTACATACTGTGGATGGTTGCGAAATCCATTTCGCACCACTTTGAAACCATGGTTGAAACCACCGTTGGTTGGTATTTACAGGGGAATCATCATTCCAGGTTTCTTAGGTGGTGCAAGATTTCGTCCATCCACAGTATCACTTGGACAAATGAACCTCTGAGAGGCCTGCTGATGTTCGTACCACACCCAAATGGAAAATATACCCCTTATAAAGTGGGTTGGAAACCATGGAAGCCAAGGGGTATGAACAAGGGGTACGTAATTCCACCCTTAGATTCGAAGCCCCGAGGCAGTGGTCGCGTTCCCAGTGAGGGGGGAGGAGAAGTCACAATCAAAACCCGGTATTAAAATGGTCGACCCAGAACCATGTAAAGACTTAAGAAGGCGGCCGCAAGAATTTTCTGGCTGTGACTGCCCCTTACTAACCTTGTCTACCCGGGTTTTGATTGTGGCTCACCTGAGGTTTTGTCTTTGGCTCTGGGTGAAAACCCGCGCCCATAGGAACCTTTGGTCTAAAAGCCAACAAAAAGGTCCATCCCAAAGCACAAGTAAAGGAACCGATCAAATGTGACCATGACACAGATTGCACATATAGGTTGTCCTGCATAACTCATGGTGCCTTTTCATGTTGGTCTCTTTTTGAAAACCAAAAGGGAACCAACCCTTTTGGGGGTCCGCCTGTTTTGACAGATACCCATCCTCAATAACCAGCTTGATAGTCAACACAGCCGCCAATTTTAGACACATGGCTGTGGGTCAAAACCAATGGTACCATTTTGGGGTAGGCGCACCACCCATTTTAGTCTATTTCAGCGGGGATTGGGATGTTCACTGAGGGTACGGGATTTTGACCCACACCCAATCCTTTTGTTTGAGACAAGAAGCCACACCCCTTCCAGAAGTCACCCCAAAAAATTCGCCTGCAGCTGGTCGGCTGCGTCGGGGAACTGGGCCGCCAGCAGGGCGTGCCGCGCCGAGTAGTGCATCACGTTGTTGAAGAGCACTTGGCAAGGCAAGTCCAAGGCCAGAAACCTCAGAAACGGAATCCACGTCCAACAACCGTCCCCAAAAACAAAAACAAAACTTCAAACAACGGTCTGGATTCTTGGGGACGGTTTGGAGCAGGTTGGATGCAAAGGATCCAAAACCGTCTGCGAGGTTGGATCCTTCAAACAACGCACGTCTATGGCCGGAGACCTCAGAAAGGAATCGCCTACGTGACTGTTCAAGCCGCTGGGTTTCTTCGATGTCTTTACACATCACCACCGGAAAGCTCAACCACAAACGAGCCTCAAAAGGGCGGTGCTTCAATTGCCCAAAAGGGGAGTGCAAGGCCCCCTGCCCCCTTTAAAAAGGAAGAAAAGAGAAAACAAAACACACACACCAAAGGAAAAAGAAACACACACACACACACACAAAAAAAAAAAAAGAAACAGAGAAAGAGAAAAACACAAACCAACACAAAAGGCACAGGGGGAAATTAGATAGCCATTTTTGAGCTCGGAGAAGCGAGTAGATGCCCTCGAAGGCATCGATGCGAGTGAACTTCTTCTTGGCCTCCTGCTGACTTGGAGTCGGGCAACTCGTTTTTGTTAGGAACTTTATCTAGGTCCGCCAGCAGAGAGGTTAGAATAAGGGACCCGATTTTTCCTGTAGTCTATCTGCTCCCCGGCTAAAAGTTTAGCTTCTAGTGGTGTAATGGAAAACCCATCAGTTGGCAAAAACTCAAAGTCCTAACATCCAGGCAAAATGCGACAAACATGACTTGTTCTTTGGGAACTGTATGCAAATGGGGTGAGAAGTATTTTAGGGAGGCCCCAAAATATGTTTCGTTTGTTCCCTCTTGAAAAAGACACACTCAGTTGATTTAAAACAGGGTGCCAAAATCACGCATTGTGTTTTGCCGTAGCGAAACAACTACCAAGAACCACCTGAGTCACAATCAAAACCGATCGGTATCAAAACGGTCGGGACCTAGAATTATTCTTATTAGATATATATATATATATATGTATATATATATATATTGTAACAAAAAAGGAAGGAAGAAAAAGAAGAAAAAAATGGGGGAAAAAAACCGGGGGAACCACCTGGGCCCATCTCCTCCGCGATGCGCGTTTCGGCCGCCTTGGCGCCCTGGAGCGCCGCCGAAAGCGCCGCCTGCCGGTTCCCAATATGGCCGTGGGTCAAACATAGGTGCGCAAAATGGAGTCCATCAAAAACCCAGGTTGGAAGTGGATTCGGTTTTTGAAGAGAACGATGGTTGAAAAGAATGGAATTGGAATCAACCTCTAGAACCGGAGGGACCCTGGTAACTGGAGACATGGGCCAAAACCTGCCGATTCCCAACTCCTGGTGGATGAATTTTGACCCATACCCATATGTCCAACCTGATAACGTCACCCCAGAAAAACACGCACCTTTCACGGGCCGAAAAGGCGATGTTTACCACCACGAAAAAGGAAATATAGGGATGTGTTTGATGATTCTGGGGCAATAGCAGAAGACAAAGAAAACCTGGCTTTGTTTGGGTTCGGGGTGATTAAGATCCAAGAGCACGAAAAAACAACCACCACCATTCAAGGACATGGTGACTGGTTTTCCCCAGCTGAAAGCTATGGTGTCTCAAGCTCCGGAACGCGGAGCTGCTCCGGGCTAGGATTCCGGAAGGGCGCAAAGGGGGTTGCTGTTGGGATGCCACCTGGGCTTGGAACAAGCTTTGGTTCAGGGTAAGACTTCGACCAACAACTTGGGCTAGAACAAGACCGACGAGAAAGTTGGCAGGGTGAGCCTGGATCTTGGCTCAGCCGTGAATCTGGCATTTGTTTGCAGATATTGTTGGAAGACTGCAACCTGGGTAAGATTATGACTCTTGGCGTGAGGAGAACTCAGCCCTCGGCCTGCAAATCCCTCCCCTGCAAAGGGAGAGAAGGGTCAAAGATTGCGGACATAGGTGGCCTGTTGGAAAATAGATGGCCCTGGTAAGAGAAATAAAACCCATCCAAACCAGTGCCATCTATTTTTAGCCAAACTAACCTAAAAAGGACACCTATGATTGCGAAGTTCCCCTTGCTGAAGCAAAGGGCATGACTAACCCAAGGGTGAAGTGTGCCATCAACCCATCCTGCAGATTACTCGACTGCAGGTTAACGGCACAAACCACAGAAGGAACCCAACAAAACCCCTCGTCTGACCATCTGCTGCAACCAGCAGCTCTTTTTCACTACACGACCTCACGACAGGTCGGGTTCGTGCCTCTTTCCCAATGGTCGACTCTTGTTTTCTCCGTTGGTTGGCTTTCTGCAAGTGGCCCAACTAACCGGAAGCACAGATCAGGAAGAAATGGAAAGCAAATGATGCAACTCTAACCATCTCAGGGGAGTGGGTGCAATCCAAGCACCACTCCGCAGGCAGGACTTTTACGTCCATTGATGGTAATTTGGCAGGCGTGCAGTCAGTGGTAGTCATGGCAGGGAGGGTGGGGAAAGAAGGCACTTTCGCCAAAGTGGCAATCAGGCCAAGCACGTGTTTCTGTGAGTCACTGCCACTCGTCTGCATCCATCGACTCATGGTGAGCTTGTTTCCAACACAAACTGAGGGGGAGACATCGTTCTCCCTTGTTGCGCATAAGACAAGTCTCACCCACGGGGGAAAAAAAAGAAGCAAAAGCCTTTCTTGGGGTCGGAATCTCCTTGTTGGGAAGGAACCCCCTTTTGGGTTTCGTAAGCATGGGAACCCCAAAAAGGAGATTCCTCGAAAACGGTGAAGGGGTGAAGGTTGATTGCTCCGAAGTGACTAACTTTTAGTGGGACAAATGGAAACCCAACCACTGAACCTGAAAACCTTAAAAGCAACGGGACGACTGGGAACCGATGTTGATCTGCAGGGGGTAAGATTTTCACAAGGGCTTAGGCATCACTCCAATCCGGACAGGGAGTATACCTCAGCTGTTGCCCCCCAGTAAGACTGATCTTCTCAGATTCTGGCGCTGTATTTTTGGAAGGCACCTCTTTTAGGAATGGTTCAACTGGAAACCCACTCGGAAACCAATCACTTTCAGGAGTCCCCATATCAAAAGTATGGGTCCCAGTAGCGCCCGGTCGCAGGCACCAAGACATTCCTCAAACGGGCAGGGACCAAAAGAGAAGACCCCGACATTGGTGGTTGTCCTTCTCTTTTCCTTTAAACCAAGCTAAAAAAAGGGCACCTTCCCACCAACCAAACCAACCAACCAAAATCCAAGTAACCTAAAGACCCAACTCACCAAAACGCCCCAAAACGACCCAAAGGATCGACCAACCAAAACCCTTCAAACCCCTTAAACCCCTTAAACCCTGAAACCCGTACAACTATTAAAAATAAAAAGCCAAAGTGGCGCCTCCTTGGCCTGCGCTCGCTTCTCAGCCATCCCTCACCACATCGCTACACCGATTCCGGACGGACGTGCGAAGCTCCGTTTCTCCGTTTCCGCACCTCCAAAACCTGGGGTTCAAGAAGGTTTCGTGCGCCTTCTTCTTCCTCCAAAAAAATCAGACATTGACATGTGTGGTGTTGCCTGGTGGTGTGTCGTGGTGTGTCCCGTGAGTTTCATTTCGTGGGGGCAGATACGAAAGCCGCTTGTGTTGCTCGGTGGACCGGCTCTTGTGACTTGGCTTCCCATGTCTGTGACTACCTCGGAGCGCGGAGCGGCAGCGACAGACATACCCTCCTTTCAGTATCTGTTAGTGCTTGAACTGAGCTTCAACTACAACTTATATATAAACAGAACTGAGTTTCCTCTGAGTTTCCTACACTCAGCTTCCTGTAGATAGATGTACACACAATGATGTATACATGTGGTCTCCCAGCAGTGGCCACCCCCCCAGCCCGAGAATCAAGACAAAGACCTGCGAAAGCCATTGTCCCGCACTGCGGGCGGCGGCAACTTCTTTTTTTCGCTTCGCTTGGCGGAATATGGAGTGGTTCGGTCTCGGATGTGATCTACATGGAGGGTGCCTCAGGCGGATTGGCGGATGCCCCCTCAACCAATCGACCATGGTTGCAGTGAGCTCGTCCCAGTGGAAGGATTCAGCGCTCAACCAAAACCTGGCAATACATGAGATGAGGCCCAAGGAAGTATGCTTGTTTGAACCAAGCCCTGGTCCCCGAAAAAACGGGGGTTCACCAAAAGCTCGCTGAAACGAAAGCCATGGGTTTCAACCAGCTGAATGACAGCCCCTCAATTGACCCCATCGAACCCATCGTCTCAGGCGAACGCTCGCTTTGTTCTCGTTCTACCAAAAGAAGTGCGTCGACCTGACTGAGCCAGGTGTCATTCATGAGCATAGGTGTCCTTGTGGGTAAATAGATGGCCCTGGTAGATGAAGCAACCAGGTTCGCCATCTATCTACCAAACCAAACCAAAAAAGGACACCTAGGTTCATGAGCGTGGGGGAGAAGAAAAAAAAACATCCTTGTAAGACAAACTTGGGTCATCCTTGGTCACCGGTCTGCACGCGCTTCGCCTCCCGCCTCGCGTGTTGCATGAGCTCGCAGCATTGGAAGACCTGCCGCGGGAGGCCCAGGCCGCGACTCGTGGGCATGGGCCGCTTCCCTTGGGCGAGCTTGGTTTTTACCGGAAAGGATAAGCCAACCACGTGGCGGCCCTGAGGTAGTTCCACGAGGTTCACCAGGGCTCCACCAGGGTTCCACGAACGAGGGTTCCACGAGGATCTGCGAGGGCTGCGGGGTGGTGCGAGCACGAAAACAAAAGAGCACCGCATGCTGTTGGGGATATCACCTGAGCTTATTTTGGGGGGGGAACCCCCTTCTTTTTAGACGCACCCACATGAAGCTTCCTCTCTGCCACTGATTCAGAGCCATAAAAGAGGCATAGCAAGGTTATGAATCCAAACGATCCACAAAAATGGCACCAAATAGTCACTCATACTAATAGGCACTAGTAATCACTATTGGTTTGGTGTGGCTCCACCTGCCTCTGGCTCTAGGACTCTTCTGTGCATTCAGATTGGTAAGGTCTACTCCCCTTCGGATTCTCCTGGAACCTGAAGGAACCCAAAACTGCCGAAAGCCGAGGAAGAACCTGTCTGCTTTCCTGTGGAAAATCTCCTTCGGGCCGGGCTCGTCTTTGGGGGTTCTATCCCTTCATTTCCATCCAACCCAACGCAACTCGCAGCGAGGCGCGGTTGAGGCTTCAACCCAGCGATGCCCCCTGCCGCGTTTTAAGGGCTCGGCCACTTTTTGGGGGCGCGGGGGTCCTCGTTTGCGGACGACTTCCGGAGCTTTGAACAGGGCGAAGCCCGAAAGATACATCCGGAAATCTGAGGCCGAACCCCTCCAGGGCAATTTGAAGGTGAGTCCAAAAAAACGGGACCGTTTTGGTTCTCCCCCTTTTGAAAAGCCCGGGGGTCCCCTTTTTGTTGGCCCCGGTTCGTATTTTTCCGCCACCCCGCAGTCGTGTTCGTCGCCTCGGGGCGCGCCAAGTTGGCGCAGGGGTTGGCCGGGTCCATCACCAGCGGCCGCTGCAGCAGCAGCGGGCCCCAGATCTCCCCCTCGCGGCTGAACTCGCTCGGGTCGCGTGCGACCGCCCGGGGAGGGGGGGGGGGAGGGGGGCTCGGGGAGGGTGGGGGTTCTGGGTGGGGGTTTTGGGGTGGGGTGGGGGTGTTGGGGTGGGGTGGGGGTTTTGGGGTGGGGTGGGGGCTCTGGTGGGGGGGGGCCGTGGGGGCGGTGGGGGGTTTTGGGGTCGGTGACACGTTCCCCACTTCTCTTGGTGGGATAGGTGACTGAGCCCGGGTGTTGGGAAAGCCATACATTGATGGTTAGGCTTATAGGGGGGTCATTCCATTTCTCGTTCCCGGAGAACCAGCAAGGTCTTTGCTGTGCAATTGGTAATCAAAAAACAGGAAACCAAGATAGACGGCAATCCGTTTGGGAATCGCTTCAAGATTTTGGGGAAGTGTCTGGTGGGCACGGCAGTCTCTCACGTCTGATTCCAAATGCCGTGCTGTTGTGCTGATGTATGTCTAGCCAGGCACGAAACAACTAAAGAACAGGCGGGTCGGTTTATCACATGTGCTACTTTTGGCAGTCTGGTTGTGTCATCTCTTCAAGGTTGCCCCTGCTTGGTCAGGTTAACAGGATCAGGTTTGGGGCCCGATTTGCAAGCAAGGCGAGCCACCCATATCGACCCCAGACTAATGAACCTGGTGATAACAAGGGGGGCTGTTGGAGCGAACATGGGCCACCAAACAAACATCAACTGGTTTGTGAATCCTGGGTTCTCATTGGGTCGTTGCTATCTGACCTCTCCCACAGCGCTGACCTGGCACAGTCAACTGGGTCTTGGGGACGCTCGCGTGACGCGATACTGGGCAAGGCCTTCCCAGAGCTCGCGGGCATCACATGGAGCCAGCCTCCCTCAACTGGCAGCCCCTCAAAAACCACGGCACGTCCATCGTGAGAGAGGGAACCCCAAGAACAAGCCCTTGCTTCGTCTCTGTTCACCTCAAAAGGTCAAAAAGCACCCCCCACTTCGAAAGACAAGATTACTTTGTCACAACAAGCAGGCAGAGCCCAGCCTGGCTGTAAAAGTTGGTCCAAATCACCCGGAGCTCTTGAAAGCTGGACCTCAGAGGCAAGGATGGTGAAGTTCTCCCCTACCGGACTGGGATCCAGATGGGCAAGATGCTTTAGGTGACAAGTCACATGACAAAAACAAAAAGACGAGAATGCCTTTTAAAAAAATGCTTTACATGTATAGATCCCCCTGAACTTTGGACATAGAGCTGAGAAGGGGGAGGCATAAAACCAGCTCTGTGAAATCCTCGCAGAGAAGGGGGATGCAGAAAAACAACTCTGTGGGAACCCCGCAGGCTTGGGTTGCTCATGTCAGAGGTATTCCGGTGCTGCTGGCCCACTAGGTGTGAATGCAAATCGAAGAGGGTGTCCACTGCCAAGCCACTACTACCAAACCACTACGCAAGGGAATATTGGATAAACATGTGTATATATATATATATATAGATTAAACATATATATGTATATATATATATATATTGTATATATATATATATATATATATGTGCTTTGTGTTTTCATGTGGATCTACTTATAGATCTACGCCATCTATATGAAAACCCTTCATACAAGTCGTCATTTTTTGTGCCTGCAACAGCACCACCTTCTTTTGTTCCCCCGCCGGGTCGACCCCAGCCGCGCCGCGCCGCGCCGCGGTTCTGGGGCCGCTGGCAGTAGGTCCAGCACGTGGACGACGGCCTCGCGCCTTAAGCCAAAGCGATCTCCGAACGCCCAGGGGGGGGGGGGGTAAGCGCCGATCTGCGGGTTCTCGGTGCTATGAATTTACAGCTCAGTGCTGCGGCTGAAATAAATGGGGCTGGACGGAACCAAAGACTAAAACCGCGTAACCCTGGCTCTTCAATGTGGTTGTGGTACCCCTTTCTTGAGGATACCCCTTTTTTGTGGCCCACGGGCTTTTTCAGAAGGAACATCACCATTTTAGGGGGTCACTGAGTTGAATGGCAGGTTTTCATTGGAACTGCCACTTTTGGAGCTTGTCCACTGTGGATGGTGACACCACACAGAAACCAGGGTTTCAATTTAGGTGAATCATCAGAAACCACAGTTTCGATTTAGGTGGTGCGAATGGATTTGGCAAAAAACCACAATATGAGTTTACCCCCTAATCAACATGGAACCCCAAATGGGCGGTGCATTTCCCAAGAAGAGTTTCCTCTGGTTGTTCTTCGGGCTCCATGTTAATCTGTAGGATGTCCACGTTGCCCCTTGAGGAAATAGCTTAAACCAGCATCCCCCAGTCAGGCTCCATGTTGGATGGGTGTCAATGGGGGAAGTTCTGAAAAGCAGGTGGGCATAAATCCAATGGTAAATGTCCACTGAAGGGCCCTAAATGAAAATTCAAACCTATATTTCACCTGCATCCATCACCCCATTAGAGGATCATTGGAGGTTCAAGGGTGCTGGTAGGCAAACCGAGTTGCCTTGGGTGCCTCAGTTCACTCAGTTGACTCAGTCCGATTTGATCGCACTCCCCCACTTGAGGTCCCAATTCGATGAGACAAGATCCTAGCCCTTCGTCCTTGTGGCAAAATCGATGGAGTGCACGTGTAAATGACGAGAAGCGAATAGAAAACGAGATGGCAGCTCTTGTCTTGGGCTTGTTTTGTTGTCACCTATCACCTCTTTCATCCTCGCATTTCGGGACTTGATCCTGATGAGGAACGCGAGTTGTGTAAAACAAAACCTGGGAACGTCCAAAAAATACGGCTCCCAACGCACAAAGGGCACATGGCTGAGAGCCAGGCTGATCCGCAGCCTTCTTGGACTGGGCGGCGTGGATCACGGTCCTTGGGATCCCATTTTGGTTGGTAGGTGAATTCACCACCCATTTTAGGCTTCCTATTTTAGCGGTTGGATTAGGATGTTCACTGGGGGCACGATTTGGATTTTGACTGATAGCCATTTGAGTCACAATCAAACCCGTTATTAAAATGGTTGACCCAGGAAACACAAAGGCGGATTTCCGTTTCCCTGTCGAGTGAGGGGGGATGCAAATGCGCTCCCTCACCTCTGCTGCCCATTTTCGTTCCTAACCCGATGGTGCTACACTGGCTCATTCGCTCGTGGCAAGGGCCATCCCTTTTCGGCTTTGTGTATCAGAGATGCTCACAAAGCCCGGTAGAAATCTGGCAGCAAAAAGCGCGGCCTCATCTTAGGTTCGAAAAACCTGCGAAACGAACCCAAGATGGAAGGGGAAATCCAAGAGTTTGGGCTCCCAACAATGTTTAGCTTGGTGGGGAGTAAACCCTGCATTGACGCTTTTCATTGGGGGGGGGGAGTTCCTGGTTTGAAAGACGCCAACCTCCGCAGCTCCACGCGCGCTCGCGGCTTGCGCGCACGCGCGAGCATTGCCCCCTTTTCGGTGAGACTCACCAGTTTCGGTTGGACAGCGCTGCCCAGGGCTTCGGCTCCTGGAGAAAAAGACTCAACGCTGCGGACCTGAGAGTAAACAATGGGTCCTCTTGGAATCTTGAGTGAGTGAGTTGAGCTGAGCTGAGCTGAGCTGAGCTGAGTTGAGTTGAGTGAGTTGAGTTGAGTTGAGTTGAGCTGAGCTGAGTTGAGTGAGAGTGAGTGAGTTGTTGAGTTGAGTTGAGTTGAGCTGAGCTGAGTTGAGTGAGAGTGAGTGAGAGTTAGTGAGAGTGAGAGGGAATCCAAAAAGGCGGGTCGCTCTTGGGACAATGGAACGACCGTTGGGAAAGCCTTGCGAAGCATGCTTCAGCCTCCATTACTAAAACTGCTTCTGGGCTTCGAATCGGGTCTGGCTGATTGAAATTGCGCAAGCCCTGATGCCTTGGATTTGACAAGGAAACCAAACGACGGTTGCAACGAGCCATTTGGGGACCCCCTTTTTGGATGGTGTTCAAAGGATCCAACAGGAAACCAGCCTGAAAAGGTCACCCCTTTTGGGGGGCTGGATCAAATCTCGAGGTTTTCACTTACACCCCGTGACTTGCCAAGGAAATTATCCGACCAAGATAACCAGGTCTTAGTTGGAAGCGGCGGCCAGAGGGGTGAGTTCAAGCATCGAGCCAGAAAATTCAAGCCTACAAACGCCAAGAGGTCGAGTCCAGAACTGGCTTTCCCGCTGCCAAGCTTGGGCAACCTAAACCTGAACAAGGACTCTGTTGTGCCTGCTGTTGTACGAATTCCTGCACCAGCTGGCATAGATGAAACCCTGATGTACCACAAGGATCGCATCTCGACACCCAGCGCTCCCCTGGTTCCCTCGTGTCTTGGGAATGGTGCCTGGCACCACACACGGCTTTTGGGGTCTTCGATGTTTGGGAGGGAGATGGAGTCTTGGATCGTGTCTGAAACACCCACCGATCCCCCCTCTTGAGGTGCCAAGCGGGCACTTTCGAGGAAACCTGAAGTTACAAGCCCCTTTGGAAGAAAACCCATCCAACATGCACCATCCAAGCCTGGAGCAATTCACCCGCCATCCATGCCAGGAACTACAATGGAAAACCTGAGCCATCCTTCCCCAAACGTTTTCCAAGCCACTCGCAAGCTACTAAGCTGCTACCGATCTTGCCATTCGAGCTGGCGAGGTGCGGAAGGACACTTGCCTACCCCTCAAAATCTTTGATTTCCCTGTGAGAAAAATCATCCAAATATCCTCTGCTTTTCGGGCGGATCCTCTGAATCTGATGATCCTTCAATCTGGGCCGCTCTTTCTTGTTTGGCTTTGTTGGCCACCATTTTGGGAGGCACCAAAGCTAGAGGACGATTGGCCCGAAAGCATTTTTCCACAGGCGCTCATCCAGCCGCGGAGACACCTTTTTACATCGCTGCGGCGAGCGTGTCTGCGCGCGGCGATGCTCAGTGTGTATGGTCACATGAGAGCTCCATCTCATCATCCGACTTTCCTCTCGAACTGCGCCGCGCGATTTCTCACGAAAGTGGTCTGCGCAAGCTGCATTGTTCCAGGCTGCTGCGCGCAAGTTGCTCTCTGCAAGCTGCTGCACGCTGCTGCACGCAAGTGCTCTGCGCAAGTGCTCTGCGCAAGTGCTCTGAGCAAGTTGCTCTGCGCAAGTGCTCTGCGCCAGTTGCTCCGCGCAAGCGCTTTGCGCAAGTGCTCTGAGCAAGTTGGTCTGTGCAAGTTGCTCTGCGCCAGTTGCTCCGTGCAAGCGCTTTGCGCATGTGCTCTGTGCAAGTTGCTCTGCGCAAGTGCTCTGAGCAAGTTGCTCTGCGCAAGTGCTCTGCGCCAGTTGCTCCGTGCAAGCGCTTTGCGCATGTGCTCTGTGCAAGTTGGTCTATGCAAGTTGCTCTGCGCAAGTGCTTTGTGCAATTGCTCTGTGCAAGTTGCTCTGCGCAAGTTGCTCTGCGCAAGTGACTCTGCGCAAGTTGCTCTGCGCAAGTGCTGCCGGAGCTGTGAGAATGTACTTCGCGTACTATTTTTGTACTTAAAAGTTGCGATTTTCCAGCCAAAGCTGCGGGGGTGTGCTCCGCGTACTACGCTTGTACTTTAAAGTTGCGATTTTCCAGCCTGAGCTGCGGGAGCACTCTCCGCATACTACGTCTGTACTTAAAAGTTGCGATTTTCCAGCCGGAGCTGCAGGAGTACGGTCCGCGTACTACGTTGCGATTTTCAAGCCGGAGCTGCGGGGGTGTGCTCCGCGTACTACGTTTGTACTTAAAAGTTGCGATTTTCCACGCTCCGCATACTACGTCTGTACTTAAAAGTTGCGATTTTCCAGCCGGAGCTGCAGGAGCACGCTCCGCGTACTACGTTTGTACTTAAAAGCTGCGATTTTCAAGCCGGAGCTGCCGCGGACCAGGGGGGAATCGAGCCCGCGACCGCGGGATTGCGAAAGCAGGCGCGCAAACCACGAGACAACTTCCAAAGGCCGTTTCCTGCCAAGAAAATTGCACGGCGCCACAGCGAGAGCGCTTCGACACGCACAATCTCCGCGGAGGGTTCGCCGAGACTAAGACAAATTCGCACGGCGCCAAAGCGAGAGCGCTTCGACGCGCACGATCTCCGCAGAGGGTCGCGCGCGGACCGCAGAAATCGTAAAAAGACCTCGACCTCCGCAGAGGGTCGCGCGCGCACCGCAGAAATCGTAAAAAGTCCTCAGTTTTGGAACCTCGACCACGCGAATCTCTGCACAGAGTCGCGCGCGCACCGCAGAAATCGTAAAAAGTCCTCAGTTTTTTGACCTCGACCACGTGAATCTCCGCAGAGGGTCGCAATCCCGAGCGACGATCAAACTCCCGCCCCGGCGCCTTAGAAACCTAAACTAACTTACATAGCTGCTTACGCCGAAGCCCTACGCAAGCTCTACCTAACCTTGGCTCTGTGTCACCTGGCTCTGTGTCACTTGGCTCTGTGCCACTTGGCTCTATGTAACTTGGCTCTATGTAACTTGGCTCTATGTAACTTGGCTCTATGTAACTTGGCTCTATGTAACTTGGCTCTATGTAACTTGGCTCTATGTAACTTGGCTCTATGTAACTTGGCTCTATGTAACTTGGCTCTATGTGTAACTTGGCTCTATGTAACTTGGCTCTATGTAACTTGGCTCTATGTAACTTGGCTCTATGTAACTTGGCTCTATGTGGCTCTATGTATGGCTCTACTTGGCTCTGTATGTAACTTGGCTCTATGTAACTTGGCTCTATGTAACTTGGCTCTATGTAACTTGGCTCTATGTAACTTGGCTCTATGTAACTTGGCTCTATGTAACTTGGCTCTATGTAACTTGGCTCTATGTAACTTGGCTCTATGTAACTTGGCTCTATGTAACTTGGCTCTATGTAACTTGGCTCTATGTAACTTGGCTCTAACTTGGCTCTGTGCAAACTTGGCTCTGTAACTTGGCCTGTGCACGGAAGAACCCTTCGCGATGCGTTCGGGAAAAAAACAAGAAACGACACACGAGGCACGGTCAAAATTACTTACTTACGGCCGTTTCGCTTAGTTTGAGAGCCTAGGAGTATCTTGTTTTCGAGTGTCCCCTATCGTTTGCCACGGCTTTGTGCGTTTTCACAATATCAACGAAACGCCGAGTACTAAACTCAACAGTCCCACCTAAACCACGCCCCAAAGCCATAGGTGTCCTTTTTGAGAAAATAGATGGCCCTGGTAGTTGATTAAACCACCAGGTAAACCAGGGCCCTCTATTTTTCAACCAAGTCAACCAAAAAGGACACCTATGCCCAAAGCCCCACAGCCCCGGACGCCGCCTTCTTCGCCAAGGACACCGTGATCCGCTTGCCGGCGCTCAGCCGCACCTAAAGCGCCAACAGCTGCCTTGACTTTTTGGAAAGGCGAAAGCTTGGTTGCTGCAACGACCCCCCTGCAAAAAGTGTTTTTTGTTTTTGTAACAAAAGAATAAATAATAATAAAAAATAAAAATATATATATATATATATATATAAAAAATGGGGGGGGGTTTAGTGGAAAACACCTTTGCTTCAACCAAGAAGCAAGTGGAAAACCCAACTTGATTTCAACCAAAAAGTTGAAGTCTAAAGATCCAACCCAATAGCAGTCGAGAAAGGGAGGTCGACACCACAAGGCTTTGGCGGGTGCAACAACGCGCACTTCCCGCGTGGATCGGCGCAGAAGAGGAAAAAAAAAAAAAGGGGGGCCAAACTGTTTGCCTTGTTGGCCACTGAAAGGATCCAAACCCAAAGAGTCACTGAAGTCCAGGAACTCAGGGAGTGAGAAACGAAGGGCAGGTTTGGGGTCGGACAAAATGAGGGTCAAGGAAAGATAGGGCCACTGACATGTTTGTGCGTTTGTTTCCCTCTGCAACGGGGACAGGACCTCGAACCCCCC